CAAATGTAAATGTGGTCAATGTTGCTCTGTCTGATCATTTCTGTGTATTTTTTGACATGTGTCTTGATTGTAAACCACCAGCTGAATCTTCGGTTGTTAGAAGAAGACACATAAATGATAATACAGGCGAACTGTTCATGGGGAGGGTAAACTTTGAGAACACGTTGTGTGTTACTGTAGATGAATTACTTGACTCTGTCACCACCACTGTTTTGAATGTTCTGGATACAATTGCTCCTGTAAAGGTTAAAATAGTTACAAACAAGCAAAAAGCGCCATGGACTAAAGCAGACTCGGTCAGGGCACAGAAGAGAGAGTGCCGGAAGGCCGAGCGGAAGTGGCGAAAGTCAAATCTCAAAGTTGACCATGAGATCTTCAAAGATGCGTTGTGCAATTTTAACAGGGAACTACGTAGAACGAGAGAAATGTACTTTTCTGAAACTATTGAAGGCTGTAGCAACAATCTACGTGTTCTGTTTTCAACAGTAAATAGATTGACAAATCCCCCTGTTAAGATGCCATCAGAACTTACTTCCAAATCTAAATGTAATGAGTTTGCTCAGTTCTTTAATGACAAAGTCCAAGGTATCAAAAACGCCATCACCTCCACGATAGAAATAATAATCCAACCGCCAGTGAGGCTTTTTGGGCTGACGCACTTTACACCAGTACAAATTGAAACTGTCCAGGAGATAATCACTCCTGACCCTCAAATCAGGTCAGAAATCTAGGAGTGATAATGGACTCAGACTTAAATTTCAAAAGCCACATAAAATCTGTAACATCAGCAGCTTATTACCACCTAAAAAACATTGCTAAAATTAAAAACATAGTGTCTAAGGCAGACTTGGAGACTCTTATACACGCTTTTGTCTCCAGTCGGTTAGACTATTGCAATGGCTTGTTCACAGGTCTCTCCAAACAGGCTGTAAAACAGCTGCAGTACATTCAACATGCAGCAGCTCGAGTCCTGACCAGAACTAGGAAGTGCGACCACATTAGTCCAGTTCTCAGGTCTCTGCACTGGCTTCCTGTTCCTCAGAGAATAGACTTCAAAGCAGCTTTACTTGTGTACAAGTCTCTCCATGGTCTCGCGCCAAGGTACATCCACGACATGTTTGTGCCATATGAACCGACCCGGACTCTGAGGAGCACAGGGACTGGACTCCTGTTAGTGCCCAGAGTCGGTACTAGACATGGGCAAACTGCATTTCAGATTCATGCGGCTAGAGTCTGGAACAGTCTTCCTGAGGATGTGAGACAGGCGTCTACTCTGGCATCTTTTAAATCTAGGCTCAAAACAATTCTGTTTAGCTGCGCATATACAACTGAATGATTTTATCTTTTCATCTTTGTTTTTATCTTTAATCTTTTTAATGCACTGTGACTATTTATGATTTTAGTCCCATCTGTGATTTTAATGTTTAAAGGTTTTTAATTTTTGTGATTTTATTTTTAATGTTTTTAATATATCTTGTGCTCTTAATGTGTTTGATTTATGCATGATGTGATAGGGGATGTGAAGCGCTTTGCGTTGCCTTGTGTAGGAAAGGCGCTCTACAAATAAACGTTGATTGATTGATTGAATATATGTAGTGACACAACATTAACAACAATTATAGACATACATTAAATCATTCCAAAACAGAAGCACCGAAAAGTTGTTGGCTGAAATTTTCCAACCTTTTTAAGCGGAGCATGCTTGGTGTGGCTCTTTGCACGGTAATACTTTTTTGTTTTTTTTGAATGGTTTTATTTGAGTCGATCCTTAGTGCTGCAGGATGATCTAAGGACAGTGATGAGCCGGGACATACTGTTTGGACATTTATTTAACATTTATGGACATCGGTCATCCCGCTCCCCGTGGACCAATGGAGTGTCTTGTGTGTTTGTTATCATTGCATTTCTTGTGTTTGATCTATTGTTGGTGAATTGACAACTTTGTGAAGTTCTCAAAAACTGTGTGCTGTTAATAATAAGTTGAATTGACTGATTGTAATATACTTAATATTTCAGATTGTATCATTCTTTATCATTCTTTATTATTGTAAATGCACTTATTTTGTCACTAGTAACAAATATGTGATGATAAATAATGACTGTACCCAATATCAGGCTTGTTCACACCAACATATCAAGAAAAGTCGCTCTCTAGTTTAAAATTCCAGCTTTAACTTAAAAAAAATAACCCCAAAGAGTGAAATTACAGCCCATGTATTATACCATAAAGATGGAAACTAAACGATGCTATGTGTATATAATGACTGTAGCATACTTTAGCTTCATCTGGGGCCCCGCACTTTGCCCAGAGCAATCTAATCAAAAGCAAAAGTATGTTTCCCTGTGACTAGACTGTGTCCCTATATGTCCCACACAACAGAGCACTATGTCTTTGATGGTGAATTTAATTATCCTACAGCTCCATGCCAGCGCTGTGTTCTTGTTGTCTTATTGTATGTGGGTGTGTGCACGGAGGCTTAAGTGTTAGCTTGTATTTTTGCACAGTGACAAAAGCACAACCTACACGGCAGCCACAGTCTCCCGGTGCCGCTGCACTTACATGTCGTTTGCCCAACTTAGAATGCGATTAATTATGGCATATTCACTCCCTCTATATAAATAATGTAGTTAAAGTAATTAAGTTTTCATTATTCATGTGGAGCTTTTCACAAACCAGGGTCATACAAATGCTTTACTTCTGTTAATAAACTTCTTTTGTGGACTATACTTCATAATTTACAAGAACCATGGAACATTTCTTCAGTGCTGTTCAGAAGTTACTATTCAAAAAAGAGAGAAAAAATGATCAAAGAAAGAATCTAGAAGAAATTCTTAACTCTTTAGTTTGAACATTTTTCTTCAACAAATTCAATTAAGACCCTGTTGTGGAATTTCTAAGGAGTGAAATGCACAATATTAAATATAAAATAAACAACAAGAGCTGTAATTCAAATCAAAGTGTGGTTTATTATCTCAGTAAATGTATACATATACAGGAAATACAACCGTGTAACCGCGTGGCAGGTCCCGGATAGATCTGCTGACTAGTGCTCACTCTCTCTCATATTTATAGGATGGAACAAACAGAAGAGTCTATCTATGGCGTCTCTGAGTCCGAGATTAAGTGGCAGCTATTGCCCAAACCCCCCTCTCTTCTGACGTCTTACTCTGATAGACTCTGATATTACTCTGATATTAGGAAGAATGGTCAGTATGACCGGTGAGCCCGCTCTTCTTGCCCCTGATATCAAGCTAGTATCTGCCTCCACCCCGTCATTGGCCTCGCGTCCCTACAGAACAACAGTTTAGTTAGTTTGAACAGATTCACTAGCTTTGAACTTTGTCCCAGATATCCCATTTCATCATTAGATTCATTCTTAAGTTAAATTGATTTATAATCCCAGTAAGATTTCTATAACAACCCTACAAATTCAATAAAACCTATTCTCAGTCGAACGGGAAGAGTAACCCACCGCAGCTTCTGAGTTTCACCTGAATTAAAGGCTCTACTCCGAGCTCCTCCTGCGACCGAGCTGTTTGTTTGTCATTTTTTATTTGTACAAGCACCGAGTATTGTTGTTTTGTTGCGTTTTAGTCAAAGTAATACAAAAAAAAAAAACATCTTATTCTGACATAGTTAGGGTAATTTTGGAGCTACCTCACCAAATAATACTAATTCTATTTAGGGGGAAACTAATTATTTTAAATTTAACAGCAGTTGTCTCGGAGGACTTCACAAAGTTGTCCCAACAACAGATCAGAGAATCAAATAGCTCGAACACATACAAAAATAACAAACACATAGAAGCCAGTGGCCCATAAAAGTAAAATGTCCATAAATATTCTTAAATGTCCTGGATCATCCTCCGACTCTCCTGCATCCTGCATTTCAAAATAGTGATACAAGAATTTTTGAATAATATTCAGCTATATCAATCTCGTCTCCCTCTTTTGACCCGCTAAACATATTTTTTGAAAGAAGTAAAAAAAAAAAGCTCAGATTAGTACAATAAGAATGATCTTGAACTTGTCCCTGGTTAATGCGAGCTGCAGCAGTCATCGACCGCAACATCTGTATCATTCTATAATTAAACATTACAATGCAGAATGTCAAATTGTTTCAGCTCCTCTCTGTTTCATTAACAGAGGGGAGGCGAAACGACAGCTATTTATAGACTTGCTGACTTTACACATGAATCACTGGGGTCAAACACGCACTAATGATTACAGGCCCATGAGCTGAACGCCACAAATGTCAAATATCTTTCCTTTTTAGAAGTCACTATTTGTCAGACACACACCGTATAAGAAATGCCACCACTGTCTTTCCCTTTCACAGGATTAAACGTGTCTAAAGCTGCAGTCTTGTTTGATTTGATCGTGTTGAGAATCTTTCAACAGCCAGTCAGTTTTGTGGAGAAGCAATGGCTCGGACGGAGTGTGATGGTGTTGGAATTGTTTGTTTAGCCTTTGTTTTCTATGTGAACAAACGGACAATGGACAATAGATGCACACGGCTGATGTAAGGCTCAACTGTGGAGCTTTAATTCAATGCAAACCTTGGATCAGGAGTCTCCAGTCAACAGTGTTTTAGGCCAAATTATTCTAATCATTATTATTATTATATTATTTTTTTATTAGTGTGGAAAAAATCAATTCTATTCAATTTCTTTTTGTCCAGCCTTAAATCACAACTGCAGTCGTCATTTACTTTGATCTATTGTTGGTGAATCGACAACTTTGTCAGTCGTCCGAGATGACTGCAGTTGGGATTTAGGGCTATACAAAGTGAATAAAGTAAAAAAGTAATGTTTCTTGCTATAGCGCATTTTTACAGATCACGGTAACTCAAAGCGCTTTACAATGTTCAGATGATTCAAAAATGAATTGAATTGAATTGAACCACAGATCTGGGACGAAATTATTACGATGCATTGAAATTTCAAATGTACTCCACACAGTTATGAATCATTTATGGTCTGTGTTTACCAAGAAGAAGCATGGTATGTCTTCTTTAAACTAACCACACCAATGCAGCAATTTCAACTGCAAACTTTGATGTTTTATTCATACTAATTGAATCTCCATCTTCAAACAAACTCAATCAATAATATATATATTTTTCATATGTACATTTTATCTAAGTCTGTAGTATATATACATTAGCGTTTCCAGTCTCGGAGGGACCTGGAGAGAGAGAGTGATGCTTTCATACAGTAGCCTCCAGGCAGATCCTGTCTTCAGCCATGTGTGCGATAAGTCAACACAATGTATGGAATTGTGAGATTTCATAACACTTTTAAGCAACTTTTGTTAGTTAAACTCATCATTCTATCAATGTGCAGAAGCCAGTACTTTTCCCTTGTTTTGTCTATCTGAAGGCCAAGCTACATGGCACTGTGGCAGCTGTTGATTGGAGGTCTCCATGCCTCCGCTCTGTATAATACACATGCATTCTGTTGTTCGTGTTGTTCGTGCTGTCTCTACCATCGACAATAAAACATGTCTTCTGTCTGAATTTAAGATACGATCCCAGACTTTGTCATCTTCTTCAGAATCCTTCTCCATTACATCATCTCTGGACACTATAAGAAGGATAGTGTCTTTGTGTCTTCGCGCTCATCTTTACCTTCAGACCAGAGGTGTCGACCTGGTCTTCAAAGGGCTGGTGTGGCTACAGGACGTCATTCCATCCCAGAAGCAGCACTCCAGACTCCATCCATTTCCTCAAGTGAGTCCAGTCTTAACTTGAGGACTTGAAGAATTGGGTGGTGTCCGATGTGCTCCTGCTTGGTTGGAATGAAATCCTGCTGCCACACCAGCCCTTTCTGGAACCAGTTGGACACCCCTGTTTCTGCAGGTTTTGAATGTTTAGCACCGCCCCCCAACTCGCTCACAGGTCTCTCATTTCCCCTACGCTCTCATCCCGCGGAGCCACCTAGTTTAATTTGCGATCTGATACATATGCTAACATTAGCATTAGCGCAACTTCTCGTAAGCTGTACAACAATCACTGATGAAATGAAACAAAAGCAATGCACTACTAACAAAATATATAACTGGAAAATTACTGCTAGTTTTGCGTCCAAATATAGTCCGAGGCGGTCCCGCAGGTCTCTCCCATAGACTGTAAGTCTCTCCAGGGGATACGATGTAAGCTAGCTATGTTCACCCGGGCTTGATTTCTTCTTTGATAATTTTTTCGCTTTAGTTCCCTCTTCTCTTCCTCACTGTTGCATCGTTCGGGCTGTTTTGCTGTGTCTGCAGTTACAGCCAGAGCAGGTGTACAGGCACTTTCTGCCTCCATTCTGCTCTTGTTTAGCAGCGCTGTAGAAGCTAGAGGACGCAGCCTTGTTCTGTGATTGAAGGAGAGCTAGCATCACGTTATGTTTCTACGCTAAGTTCCACACTAAGCTTTTACGGCCTGAATTCATACACAAGCTGAATCAATGAGCTCAAGTTGTCAATTAAATTACAGATTATAATAAAACTTATTTGTAGTAATTGTCATGGTGTGGATTTTGTGTTATTTTACTTGGTTTTATTTTGACTAATTTTCCCTGTTTCAGTTTGACTTCCTGTTCCCCTGTTGATTTTCTGCCCCGCCCTGTGTCTGTGTCTATTTGTACCCTGTGCTCCTCTCCCCTCGTTGCTGGTTCATTGTATTGTCAACATCTGTTCCTGGTTTTGTTTTCCTTGTGCCTTTGGATTTTGAGCTTGTTTTCTCCTGCACTATGGTTTTTTCCTCATTAAATTCTTTATATTTTGGTGTTCCTGCAATTTTGGGTCCTCATTCACTTCACCACATGACAGTAATAGGCATTTTTATGAATTCATATAAAAAAAAACAAGAATCAGGTATAGCTTCTTTAAGACTGAATTCCACCATTTAATGTCGCTAAACCGTCTTGATTCACAACTCAGAGTGCATTCGATCTCCAACACCTATTACTGGTTAGTGTGAGAAACCCCAGTCTTTGGCAAGATAGAAGATACAAAAAAGGGAAAATGAGTAAAAGGCAGAAGATCCTGACATGAAGTTGCTGATGTAATGCCACTGTTCATTGAGAGTCCGCTCACAGACTGGGGTTGCACTGGTGCTGGATAAACAGACCAGTGGCCGGTGATGTCACTCTGAGTGGACTGCAGGGAAAATGCACAGCAGTCAAATCAAGAATGCCATTTGAATTGGAGAAGCAGCGAAATGTACCGACATATTCTTAAAATGATGATTTGATGTAATCATGATATTTCAGTCGTCTCTAAAACAGGATGACTCATGACGTGTTGAGCAGACTGTGAACTGGAGGCCGAAACATGAATTGCAAATCTATTTTCACGGACTTTGTGTGGATTCTTCAAAACCAGACCTGTCCTTATAACATTATGTTCTGTCACCATTATAAGCACAAGCTCCTGAACATTGAGGAGTGGGTTATTTCCATCTGAAAAGACTCAAACAAAAGGATGAGACGGATCTCTCTTGGATGCATTGTTTTATTATTATGTGTATTGAGTAATTATGATAATGCATTGGGTTTATAATAGGGGGGGGGGGGGGGGGGGGGGGGGGGGCGACAGTGGCCCTTTGAGCCTGAAGGTCGTGGATTCGAGCCGACCACGAGACCTTCTCCACCGACTCCCACTGATGACTGCTGTCGTTGTGTCCTTGGGCAAGACACTTAACCCCACTTTGCTTGAAGCCCCCGCTGAAAGACCAAGGCTATAGCTGCAGGAGGATCAGTGAGGGGCTAGTGCTCTGTGAATTGGGTGCAGCTCTGACCTCCCCCCTGACCCAAGAATGGAATAATGGAAAGAAAATGGATGGATGTGTTTATACTGTGCCTTTTTGGACACTCAAAGAAGCGTAACATGTTAATATTCTTTCACTCCATACACGCTGGTGATATACTACAACTGTAACTGCAGGGATGAATTTCCTTCTGTTCTACTCCCTACCTGGAGGCACCCACTGTCTTCTGACCCCCATGGACCAATCCAATGTGACCTGGACTTAACATCACGGCAGTAACTGAGCTTAAAAAACTGTGGTTTAGTGCTCTCTACAATCTTGTTTTTTTTTCTTATTTTGATATTATCCTTGTAAATCCAGATATGAGCCATAAGGATAGACCAATCAGATGAGGTGGAAACTACAGCTTGCCTGGAGTTTGCCTCTGTAATGGCGCAAATCTTACCCCATAAAAACAAATACCCATATAAGGACATTGGCTCCACCTTATGTTCAAATCAGCGTCTTCCGGATTGGGCAAATATTAGTGGTGACGTCAATACTCGGTCAGTTCCCACCTCAACTGGCTCTTCTCGATGTGGAGAAGCAGCGGCTCTACTCCGAGCTCCTCCTGTGTGACTGAGCTCCCCCCACATTCCCCAGCCACTCTGCAGAGAAAACTCATTTTGATCGCTTCTATCCATGATATAATCCTTTTGGTGATTACCCAAAGCTAATATAATATTGAAATAACTAAAATTGTCCATAACACAAGGATTTGAATTCATTTTGTCGAATTAGGAAGCAATGTGGGTATGGCCGGGGCTTACTGGAGCTCGCAGTTGGAACTGTTTTCTGTCTTTCTTTACAATTAAGAAAAGTCACTGACATTCACTTTAATATCAACAGATAATCTTTAAACAAAAGTATTTAAAAAACTTGTGTCTGGTTTCAAGACCGAGGCCCCATATCTGCAGATGATTAAAAGTGAATGCAGACTGCTACGTTTTTGCTAAAATAACAAAAAGCATTATTGCCCTCATTTGTCAAACGCCGTCAGCCTCATGTAGAGATAAGTGCCTATTGTGTCGCCGGCTTTCTCATATCCTCCTTCTCTTGTCTTCGCAGGAAACCAACGAACTGGTGGCAATAAAGAAGTTTAAGGACAGCGAAGGTAAGTGAAATGCAGAGGTTCTATTTCCATCAGATGTCAGGTAATCAAAAGTGATCCAGTACAAACACACTGGCACACTTTCTCTCTCTCACTCACACACACTCTCTGTCTCTCACACTCACACTCTCTCTCTCTCAGTCACACACACACTCTCTCTCTCACACTCACACACTCTCTCTCTCACTCACACACACACTATCTGTCTCAGTCACACACACACGCTCTCTCACACTCACACACTCTCTCTCTCACTCACACACACACTCTCTGTCTCTCACACTCACACTCTCTCTCTCTCTCTCACTCACTCACACACACTCTCTGTCTCTCTCTCTCTCTCTCTCTCTCTCTCTCTGTCTCTCTCTCTCACTCACACACACACTCACACTCTCTCTCTCTCTCTCTCTCTCACTCACACACGCACACTCTCTGTCTCTCACACTCACACACACACTCTCTCTCACACTCACACACTCTCTCTCTCACTCTCTCACTCACGCACACTCTGTCTCTCACACTCACACTCTTTCTCTCTCTCTCTCTCTCTCTCACACTCTATCTCTCTCTCTCTCACTCTCTCACTCACACACGCACACTCTCTGTCTCTCACACTCACACTCTCTCTCTCTCTCTCACTCACACACACACTCTCTGTCTCTCACACTCACTCACTCTCTCTCTCTCTCACTCACACACACACTCTCTGTCTCTCACACTCACTCACTCTCTCTCTCTCACACTCACACACACTCGCTCTCTCTCACACTCACACACACTCGCTCTCTCTCACTATCTCACTCACACACACTCTGTCTCTCACACTCACACTTTCTCTCTCTCTCTCTCTCGCTCACTCTCACACACACTCTTTCCCTCTCTAACTCTCACACAAATACACACCCTCTCTCTATCACACACACACTCTCTCTCACCCACACACTCTCTCTTTCTCTCACACACACTCTCTCACACACACTCTCTCTTTCTCTCACACACACACTCTCTCACCTCACACTCTCTCTCTCTCACTCGCACACACCCTCTCACTCTCTCTCTTTCTCTCACTCACACACACACACACCCCCTCTCTCTTTCTCTCTCATTCACACACACTCTCTCTCTTACTCACACACACTTTCTCTCTATCTTTCTCTCACTCACACTATCTCTCTATGTCTCTCACTCACACACACTCTCTCTCTTACTCACACACACTTTCTCTCTATCTTTCCCTCACTCACACTATCTCTCTCTCTCTCTCACTCACACACACTCTCTCTCACACACACTTTCTCTCTATCTTTCTCTCACTCACACTATTTCTCTCTCTCTCTCTCTCTCTCACTCACACAATCTTTCTCTCCCACACATACAGTATATGGTTTTGAAAAGCGTGTACTGCTCGAGGTTAGAAGTCCTATTATAACATTTTGTGAACTGTGCTGGAATCATACAAGTACAAAGAAATATACAATACACTCTAGAAGCTGCAATCACATCCCAATCACAGATTTGGTCAGAAAGATTGCAATTCGAAAGCCTGAATTCACAGCTTAATTTTGAAATGGAGTTTATGGAAGCGGGTGCGTGTCACACTAGATAATTGTGTTTTGTGTGATTATGAAATGCTTCTACAGAATGATATTCCTCTAGATTTCAAGGATAACTCTGCATGGGCCTTGTCTTGCGGTGAAGGCAGACGTGAGCCGATGCCAGGACCGACGCTCTCTGTTTGATTAAATGTTGCAGAAAATGAGGAGGTCAAGGAGACGACGCTGCGAGAGCTTAAGATGCTGCGGACGCTCAAGCAGGAAAACATCGTGGAGCTCAAGGAGGCCTTCAGGAGGAGAGGCAAGCTGTACCTGGTGTTCGAATATGTGGAGCGGGTCAGTGCACTACCTCATTTAGAAAATAACAGTATATGTGATGTATTGTATATTTGCCATTTTGATGAAATTAAAATTCCAAGGATTTTTTTGTATAGCCCTAAATTACAACAGCAGTCATCTGGGAGGACTTTACAAGGACTTTACAACAGAGATTCAAAACAGTTCGAACACAGGAAATGCTATAATAACAAACAAATATGAGCCATTGATCTATAGGGAGCAGCATGACCAATATCATTAAAGTAGTGAGTAAGTAAGTAATGTGTATTTTAGGGCTGTCAAACAACCAGTTCTTTCAACAAGCTGTAATCAGTTCAAAAATCCACTTGTTTTGGAAATGATCTTGTTGATTATTTTTTTAGTGTAAATAATTTCTTGCACTTTTTGAGATTTTTTATTTCTATACTTGAAGCTTATTTTATTCCTGTTAATTGTTTTCAGTATGTGCTGGTCTGGTGCACACTGGGAACTTTTGCAAATGTATTCCAATAAAATGAATCTGAATCTGAATCTAACACTAATACCATATCTACAGGTATCTAACACTATAAAATACATTAATCATTGCATCTGAAGCAGACCATACCATTATCAGCTGTTAAAGGGGGATTGAGGTGGATGTGGCTCTCTTAGTCCTGATTATAAATACTTCAAAAATTCCTCAGTTACAATTCAGACAAGAATCACGATCCAAGACCGCAGAAGCTCATTCCAAAGACGTGGAAGAAACAACCTTGAAAGATCTCCGTCTTCTCTGGTTTTATAACGAGTGTATTCTAATTCTACATCCTAATTATAATATTTTTTCCAAAGTCATTGCCTCTTTCTCTAAACTCAGCTCTGCCTTGCATGTTTGCCTCTGCTGTGCAATATCCAGTCTTTAAGGACAACTTGGTTAATCAAAAAAAAAAAAAAAGAGGAAGAAACAGGTCTCCATAGAAACATACGATCCGTGATGTAATGGTATTCCCCACTGTGTTGCCAGGGTTTCAAGCTCGCAACACTTTATTTCTTTGCAACATCTTCCTCCTGCTGCACTCATAGTCATTTGGTGTCCCCATCTCTCTCTCTTCTGGTTATTTCAGTGCAGCCGGAAGCCCAGTATTCCCCAACAATGTGTTTATTGCGTTCCAAGAAGGGCCGCAGGATTTAACCAAAGTAAATCGACATTGAATGCTGGCAATTAGCGAATCACAAAGACTATTGTTATTTAAAGCCGGTATTCAAACGGCGAACAATGAAACTGCAGTATGTTATAACAATCCATCTACTCCTATAGCTTCCTGAACAGTTGGTTATATCACCAGTTTTAACATGTATTTACAGTTTATTCTTGCCTCTGTCACAATTTTGGATTCACTTTTTTCAGGCAGAAAAGTGAAAAAGAGAAAACCACCATTCATCCTGGACAGTGATCCGGGCCTGTACCTGTCATTCATCTGTAAAGAGTAAATACTGTCATCATGCGCAATGTGCAATACTGCAATTTCAGAATGTCCACAGAATGTTACTTTTCTGCTTATCTTGCCCTATATGTATATAACTTTGCACTATACAGTATTGATATATTAATATTGAAGTAAGTAAGTTTTATTTATATAGCGCATTTTACAGACCAAGGGAACCCAGAGCGCTTTACAAATGTTCAGAGCTCAGATTCTTTTTCAGTTTTCCATTCTCTCCATGCGGTGATGGGTTACTGTTAGGGTTAACCGCCGAACACACTGGAGCATCAAAGCCTCCGACCAAACACCATTCATTACATTCACTCTCTCATTACATTTATACCTATTGTGCATGATTTGAGTGGTAGGGGAGACTGGAGTACACAAAGGAAACCTACGCAGACACGGGGTTTCTGCATTTCCTGTGTTCGAACTGTTTGATTCTCTGATCTTTTGGTGAGGTTGGTCAGTGAATCGACAACATTGTATATTTGTCCGAGACGACTGCTCCTGTGATTAAGGACTATACAAAGATGAATTGAATTGAATTGAATCAGCTGTCAGCCCGTTAAGTTGGGTTTCCTAGTATTAAATAAATATCTTTTCTCTGAGTCTGAACTTTCTCTCTTGGTTTTTGGTTCTTAATCTGCGCAGTTTCCATGTTTTAAAGTCCTATGTTTTGTTTGTTGACCAGAATATGCTGGAGCTGTTGGAGGAGCTTCCCACCGGAGCTCCCTCGGATAAAGTCCGAAGTTATATTTACCAACTCATCAAAGCCATCAACTGGTGCCACAAGAACGAGATCGTGCACAGAGGTGAGAGCAGAATCTGGATATCACATCTCAGAAATATTGAAATTAGATTTTTAGCAATGATGCAGATACAGTAGCATCTCACAAAAAACACGGTTCACCTTTCGAGGCCTCGCTGTTTGGCTGATTTCATTTTTGGACAATTGCACCACATGTATATTCCAACAACATTACCTGGCTGCTTGTAAAACATGACAGTTACATTAATTTATAGTTTGAAGAAGAGTGTTGTTGCTTGTGTGCGCTGCGGTGATAAGTTCAGAACACTCTTTCTCTCTGGTCTCTTTCTGGTCTCCCTATGGCAGGGGTCGGGAACCCAAAATGTTCAAAGAGCCATAATTGACTAAAAAACTAAAAACAACATCTGTCTGGAGCCGCAAAAAAATAACAGCCTTGTATAAGGTTTTTATGAAGTTAACACAGGCTGCAAGATGTATTAGCTATATTAGCCTAATATCTAAATGACAAAGTAAAGGCTACAAATACATAATAATCATTCATGATTATCAAATGTGTATTTTCACTGCAGCGTGTCGCACCACGCGTGTAGTGAATGATGCAACACGGGACAACTCTGCTTTAGTTTAACTTCCATTTTTTTGCCTTCATGCAATTGTAGAAATACAGTAAATAAATCTGCTTTGGGCTCAGAGGTCACATACCTGCATCACTGTCTGCTCATATCCACCACGTCACAGGCTGAAGTTTGCTGGAGCTGAATTAAAATCCTTAATGGCCTTTTCTTTCACCGTCTTTGAGAAGGTTTTGAAGTCTGAAAAAAGGGTGCTCTGAATTTTTGATGAATGAATCCTTCACGTAATCACCGTTTACGTCGTTTTGCGCGTCATTGTTCCTCGTGTTTCAACAAAACCTCTCATTACAAACATGAAGCAGTCCTTCCTCATTGACTGAAAGAAAATGTTCATTCTCATTCTTAGTCCAGTCTTGTTATCGACTCTTTCTCGTTTTAGCTTTGGGATACATGTGCACTTACAGTCTATGATGCACACACGCCGGTTTGTTTACAGCAGCGGCCGCATGGGGCGGGGCCGCGTGACCGCGCGTCATAGGATATGACGCACTACGTTGACAGAAATGTTGAAATTAGATATTACTTATACATATTTTTACAGCATTTAAAAACGTAAAGATTGTTTTTCCTTCTACAGAAACCACATTTAAACTAGAAATAAAATATAGCCCTCACACTCCATTTTCAGACATTTTTGAAAAGGCTCCAGGAGCCACTCCAGCAGCACTCAAGAGCCGCATGCGGCTCCGGAGCCGCGGGTTGCCGACCCCTGCCCTATGGTCACTCTCTAGTCTCTCTCTGGTCTCTCTCTGGTCTCTCTCTGGTCTCTCTAGTCACTCTCTGGTCTCTCTCTCTCTGGTCTCTCTCTGGTCTCTCTAGTCACTCTCTGGTCTCTCTGGTTCCTCTCTGGTCCCTCTATGGTCTCTCACCTGTCTCTCTCTGGTCACTCTGTGGTCTCTCTCTGGTCTATCTCTGATCTTTCTCTTGTCACTTTCTGGTCTCTCTCTGGTCTCTTTCTGGTCTCCCTATGGTCACTCTCTAGTCTCTCTCTGGTCTCTCTCTCTGGCCTCTCTCTGGTCTCTCTAGTCACTCTCTGGTCTCTCTGGTTCCTCTCTGGTCTCTGGTCCCTCTATGGTCTCTCACCTGTCTCTCTCTGGTCTCTCTCTGGTCTCTCTCTGGTCTCTCTCTGGTCTCTCTCTGGTCACTCTCTGATCTTTCTCTTGTCACTTTCTCTCTCTTTGGTCTCTCTCTGGTCTATCTCTGGTCTCAGCACCACAGTAACGAGCTCAGAGGAATACCGTGATCTTCCCGTAGCCCTCAGTCCTTCTCCTGCCCCTCTTCGCGGTCTCGTCTGCAGCTGTATTTTTGAGTGTATGCACGGCTTTGGACAGCTGCAGCAGTTCGAGAGTTTGTGAGTTCAGGTGGTTAGAAAAGCGTATAGAGCGTGTGAAGAGTTTTACAGCCTTAAAACATACAGCTGATACTTACTTTTAGAACGTAACCCCTCGTGATAAACATGGAACCACTGTACAGCAGACAACATTATAACCAGATTATATTTTATTTGGGAAATGTACATGTGATTCTATATGTGTGCTTTCCTCAGACATCAAACCTGAAAACCTGCTGATCAGCTCTGAAGACGTCCTGAAACTCTGTGACTTTGGTGAGTCCTTGCTTCAGTCTGAGCTGCTGTCTTGTGATTTTGAGTCGCTGCATTGTGTCTCTGTCAGAAGAATACAATCGACTGTTACATCAAGGTGTGAGTGAGAGAGAGATGGTTTATCGGCTCGGACTCATCACTCATTTCTGGATGCTCGTTCAATCTATGATATTTGATTGTCCTTTCCTTTCTGCTTCCCCTTCTGAGCACCAATGTTCACTGCAGTGGCTTTGTTTTGTCTTATGATCCAACGATTTCATTTGAACAGCTCAGAAATAGCTACAAACTAATTATGCCGCTTTTGTTTATGTTATGCTTTAACATAAACGGTAATTTACACGGATATTGATTCTTTCGATGCAGAGAACAGAAGCTCCTGTAATGAATCAGATCCAATTGTAGCTGTCAAATGTGTAAAAAATCAGTTATAAATTGACACGAAAACTGCTACGCATTTGTTCCAAATACTTAGAGCAAGAATATGAACTGGAAACGCAGAACTAGCCCTGCATCCAATTTGAAAACAGTTTCTTCTTCCTTGTCTTTCGATCTCATTCCTACTAAGGTATTAAAAATTCGAGATGGCGGCCATCACACGTTTTTCATTTGTTTTGAACTAAAAACATTTACACACATTTGTTGTTGGGATATAGAACTAGATACCGGGACTCATGAACTTCACAGAAAAAAATCCACATGAACAGGACAAAATGTGAGATTCGTTGATTTTTTTATAAAATCTTTTGGTACCATGAAAAGAACTACCGTGGTCTATTATTGTTTATAAAAAAAATCTACGTTTTATCAAAAAAATCTACTTTTTGTTCAAAAAAAGACGCATTTAAAAAAAATATAAAAATAGTAAATTATTAAATATGGTATTGAGTCTTTTTATTAATTCAAAATGCTGTTTACATTTTAGTGTCATGACAACACTAGATCCAATTATATGGTTCTGGTTGATCCTTCATACAGTAAAGATGGTCACTGGTGACTGTTTTCCCGATGCCCAAGGGTTACACCTGGATTTAAAATTTAAATGTAATACTATTGTTGTGTATTCATAAATATTGATGTCTGTTTTGGTATTATAATGTAATGGGCGGCATGGTGGCTGAGTTAGCAAAAGTCCACGGATTGAATCCAGGTTGAGCGTCTATCGTAGTAGAGTTTGCATGTTCTCCCTGTGTTCGTGTAGGTTTTTTTTCTTCCTCCAAACACATGCTGGTCATGTTAGCAGGTTAGCAGCGCGCACAGGTAGATGACATAATAGGAATGGACAGAGCTAACCCGCTAACTTTCTGAATGCTATGGAAGTGTTCATGGCTGAAATTCTGGTCATACTTGCTTTGGCTCCTGTAACTTTGATTGAAAAAATAGGGATTATGAAAATATCATAGCTGGGTCGGAGTAGGAGTTTTTGTTTTGAGTTTTAATTGAGAGCCCTCAGTTGGAAAACAGTGGGAAATGTACAAAAGCAAATAGAGAGCACAGTGAAAAGTTTATGAAAATATGCACAACTTCTACAATAAGTCTCTTACTCTCCCTGCTGCAGTCAAGGTTGCCTTCCGCGTAACCAAGCCACGACTGCCTCGGGGCAGGCAAGTTTGTGAATAGCACAACGTGTCTAGACAATGTGGTTGTCCAAAAAATTATGCCTTCCCTTCTGCAGAGGTCCTTACTCAAGTGGAGGAGTTCAAGTATCTCGGGGTCTCGTTCACAGTGAGGGAAGGATGGAGTGTGAGGTTGACAGACAGATCTGAGTTTTAGTTTTGAGTTTTAATTCAGAGCTCTCAGTTGGAAAACAGTGGGAAATGTACAAAATCACTGGAGCTATAACAGTGATGCGGTTGCTGTATCGGAGCGTCGCGGTGAAGAGGAAACTCTTGGTTTACTGGTCGACCTACGTTCCCTCCCTCACAGTCATAGTCATGAGCTTTGGGTAATAACCAAAAGTATGAGATCGCAGATACAGGATCCACGTCGAGAGGAGCCCGTTGAGCTGGCTCAGGCATCTGTTTGGATGCCTGCTGGACGACCCCCTGTGGAGGTGTTCCAGGCATGTCTCACTGAGAGAAGACCAGGGTAAGACCCAGGACCCGTTGGAGGGTTTATGTCTCTCAGCTGGTCTGGGAACGCCTCTGGATTCCCCCAGATGAGCTGGTGTGTGTGGAAAGGAAAGTCTGGGTGTATCTGCTTAGACTGCTGCCCAGCGACCCCTGCAACAACTAAAGTGGAAGAAAATGTGAATTTGTGTATTATGTGCATACCGTATGCTGAATGTGGGCACAGAATGTTCCTCAAGGCCACATTCTGTTGGTCAGGATTCAGTTCCAGAGAGACCAGATGCTGGATGGAATTTTTGCTTTGCCATCCTTAATAAGCATGACTTTAGAGGAATGGGCTTCTATAGTAAAAGCCAAATGCTATGAATGATGTCAGAACTCACTCTGTCTGCTCCTATGGCACAGAGTTTGAGTTTCACTTGGCAAGTATCTCTCCTGTGATTGGATGGATTTCCACTTCAGGCGCTTGGTTTCCTCCACCACACAAAACATGCACTACAAGTTTAATCCTCCAGCTCCTGGTCGCCCGGACCTTGTCCAGTATCAACAATTAGGGATTGTTCCCCGGGCGCTGCACTGTCCTGACAGAGTGACATTGCCAGGTCCAATGTAGAGGACAAATTTCTCATTAAACTATACCATAACAATACCCTAACTTATTTAATGTGTGTAATTTTGTTATACATTGATTTATGATGTCAAAGAAAGGACTTAACTCATTGCCTTACTCCTTCAAATACTGGGGCAAATGTTTGTTATTGTGATACCCATCCCTATCGCAATCAATATTTTCTGTCACAAGATTAAACAAAGAAGAACCCAAAAGCAGTGACCAGTTAATACAGTTGTCTATCTGCTAAATCATTATTATTTTCAAAGTAAATTATACAGGTGTGTCTTATAGTCCAGACAGTACGGTACATATATCTTTTCACATTATGTATTAAACTCAATTGAACAACGGAGACATGGATTGACAGTGGTACAGTTGATGTGTCTGTTAAAGAATCGCATTTGACTTTGCTTTGCATATTTGGCTGCTGCGCGGACCTGTGACTCAGGTGGGGTGCGACCGGTTTGTTATTCACTGTCGGAGCTTTGGCTTTCTGTTTATTGTGAATCCCATGTTCAAAATGGGCCGGTTCTGCACCAGTTATCCAGCCAGCCTGACTTAAACACACTACTGCGACCGTGTTGTCATCCGAGCTGTCCAAACAAACCCAGTGTTGGCCATACAAGCGCACGGCTAATGAGAGGCCTGTTTCGCCGAGTGTGAAGCCGGGTAATTGTGAAAAATATCAGAGCTGGGGGAATTAATAAGCAAATGCTGTATGTCTTAATTGTTTATGTTGTAGGTTTTGCGCGTAACCTCTCCGAAGGAACTGATGCCAACTACACGGAGTATGTGGCGACAAGATGGTACCGATCTCCGGAGCTGCTGCTGGGGTGAGCTTATGTTTTTCGTGGATTTCTGTGGAGCTCTAACTGCTTAGCGATTTAAAAAGTCCTTCCGTTACTCTTTTGATAATAACACTCTGTACAGTTGACTGTTTTCACCGAGTTACAATTTTTTATTCAATTTGGCAAAACACAATAGCTCAACTCTAATGTCTACTACTGTACCAGAGTGTAAGCTACGCACCAGTTAAAAATATGTATCTAAAATGCATTTATTTGAGTTAAGTTAAAAAAATCTATGTAAAGAAGAGAAGGAGAGGGACACATGGAGCCAGTGTGTGTCTGTGTGGTCTTGTTGTGTTTGTCTAGTGTTGTAGTGTGTATTGAAAGTGTGTTAAGCCTAATCTTTTGCACATGTGGCTTTGTTTTTTGATTGAGCCGTTTTGGTATTCTGAGAAAATTATAAATGATATTAGTTAGTTTTTGGTTGTTATTGTTATTGTTTACAGTTTGGGTTAAAGTATAGGCAAAGAATGTATTTTTGTAGCACATTTTATACACATTAAAAAGAGTGAAGACACAATCCTTCTGTTGTGAGCTCAGCTAAACAGAACTGTTTTCAACCTGGATTTGAACATTGCCAGAGTAGAAGCCTGTCTCACATTCGCAGGAAGACTGTTCCAGATATCAGCTGCATGAATCAGAACCCCTTGTTTAGCCGCATCATTAATTCTGCTCTAAACAATGGAATAAAACACATAATTGAAAAGTCATTGAAAAACTTAAATCTTCCAATCCAATAACTCTTTTCCCCCTACTGGTGCCCAGAGACAGGACTTAACATGGAACAGTCTGTCTGAAAATGTGAGACAGGTTCTACTCCAAATCCAGGTTGAAACAATAATAAATGGGAAAGTGTCAGTTAGTAGTGAGTCAGATGTTGAATAAGGCCATGTAGAATAAGGATTAATAAGTGCTTAATAAATACTAATAAAGAACTAATTAACCATACAATAACACACTAATTAGCTCTTAATTAGCTGTTAGTTAGTGAGTGCTAAAACAAAGTGTTAACAGTTCTGTTTAGCTGTGCGTACAACTGAAGAATTGTATCTTGACTCTTTTTAATGCTTTTAATCTTGTTTTGTGAAGCGCTCTGAGTTGCCTTGTGTATGAACTGTGCTACACAATAAAAACTTGCCTTGCCTTAAATGTGCAACAAAAAAAGCAACCTTCACAGTTGTTTTATTTCCACATTGCTCTGGCTCTTGAGTGTGTACTTATCGTTCCTTCTCTTCGCCGCCTGGAGTGTCTGTCCGTTGGTTCTTGGCCGCGGCGTTCGGGCTCTGGCCTCTCGCGCTGCTGAAGCTGTGGTCTGATTTAGTAATGCCATGGAACATTTATCGAGACGTTTGTTTGCCGCCCACTCGATCCTCCGTTCCTTCCAATTCCACCGCGTTCAAGCCGCACTGCTGCAAGACCGCGCACGCTTTCACCTCCTGTTCAAACTGTAGACCAATTCAATTTATTTGTTTATAGTCCTAAATCACCAAAAGAAAATCATAATTATTAGAGGTTTTCAACTGATATGAAAACAGTGTGTTTGAGGTTGCACGGGTCTTTCCTTCTTGATGCTGTCAGACTGTACAATGAGAACTGCTGAACCTGTAAATGTCATCCATCTGTAAATAAGTAAATACTGCAATCATGTGCAATGTGCATAACTGCAACTTCAGAATGTCCACTGAAGAAGGTCCTTAATACATCCCACAGTGGGGAAATTTCAGTTTGATGAATACACATACACACATATACATCAAGGCATGCAGCGAACATTACTTCCGTACTCCTTATAGGCAAAGTGGGTTCGGTCTCTTGCCCAAGGACACAACAACAGCAGACATCAGTGGAGTTGGTGGACTCCACTTTACTTTATCTACCCATTACTCTGCCCTATATGTACAGTATATAACTCCCCACTCATATATATATATATATATATATAATTTATTTTTATTTTTTTGAAAGACTGGTATTGAAGCCTTTACAGCATTCATAGCTAGCTAAGAAACATAGCTACTACTTATTTTGTATATTTTGTTTGCGCCCGGTATGCTCTTGCTACTGTCCTGTCTGTGCGCTGCAACATTGAAATTTCCCCACAGTGGGACAAATAAACTCATCTTATCATATCTTACCTTTCCCTTTTTACTTTGACAAGGCTCTCTCTGCCTGGACAAACAACATGGATTGTTTATGTGGAATAAAAGTGACGTACCACAGTTTTAATCTTATACGATCTTTGCATCCCTCGTCATGTCTTGTTTGTTTTTTCAGAGCGCCGTATGGAAAGGCTGTGGACATGTGGTCGGTGGGGTGCATCCTGGGAGAGCTGAGTGACGGCCAGCCCCTGTTCCCTGGAGAGAGCGAGATCGATCAGGTGTGTGCTCCCCAACACTGCGCCAATCTAACCTCAGCCGCTGATTCTGTTTACGATAATGGCCCACAGGCGAACGCAAAAGCTGTTTGTTTTTCCGTCAGGGGAGACATGGGCTGAATAGAAATGAACAAAGAAAACAGTCTAAGTTGTATGGGTTTAGCATGAGGTTTGAAGCACGACTAGATGGTTAGAATAGGAAATATATAGGTCAAATAAACAGACATGAAGGTTATCCAATGAAAGACATATTTATTGCTGCGACACAGACAAGGCCTGTCTAAAGAAAGAACTGAGTAAGACTGAATTCATTCTGTACATTTGCATTTAGTTCTTGTATTTTCTATATATTTTGTAATCTTTGTTTTTTCTTTTTAAATGAATTTGGATCATTTCTATATAGCTGATTGTATTTTAGTGATGTACCCCAGGAGGACCGGGGTGGGGGATACATACCAATCCAAAGAAATATATGAATAAACATAAATAGAAACAAAGCAGGTCGGTCTATATATATGTGTATATATATATATATATATATATATATATTTATAGGTGAATGTGCACGTTTTATAACATGGATCCCCCACACTCGTCCTCTGCGGGTTCATAAACGTATGATATCTGAGACTGTCACACCGACCTCATTTACCGCCCTTCTGTCCTTGTCGTATCTCGTGTCATCGCAGACCGTGTCAAGCTGCCCTCACTGTGAACTTCAATAATATAAAGTCTTATAAAGATACACACCATCCAGATAACAGAATAATGTATATGTAACACTGTTTTCCTTTGAGATTTCTTGACATTTACATTTTTATGGAGACTTCTTTTCATTTTCAGTTTCAGGACTAAAAATGTTGTCTATTCCACATCTAATGAGACAATCAGCAATTAACAAAATAAAACATAAAATACAGCATACAGCCTTGAATGGGGGGAAATTATGTTTAATTTTCACACAAGGATGTGTTGGACCCCCAGAGCAGTCTTTTTGACTCCTCCCATTCAAATCAATAGAATTTTGAAAGAATCCCCAAAATGTTTTTCTTCTTTTATGAATCAATGTGTATGTTTTGTCTTTAATAGGTATATTAAACAGGTTAATATAACTTTAAATACAGCATAAACATGGCAGCTTTAACTGCCAAAGCATGTTGGTTTCCAAGCAACAATAAATTCTTTAGAGTTTTGCCTTCAAATTAATAGAGCAGTCGTTACTGCTGTGGGAGTTAAAGGTAGAACTACTCATATTTCAAATATGAACGATTATTTCATGATAATAATGAAATAAACGACATATAGATCATATAGATCACAAAGTCACAAAGTTATGTTCACACGCCGAGTAATTACACCTCCAAAACTAAAAGACGTCGAATTGACTGCTCTGGGAGTTCTAGTCTTAATCCAAATGTAATCGTAACCTGGTTGTTCTGAAAATTTGAACTGCATTTGATCCTTGTAGACTTTGAAAGTGAGTAGCTGTACATCTCAAGAGGCTTTTCATTTATACAAAGGACGGTCAAAGTGCAGCCTTCAGTGTGTTCCATTTTCTTTCCCATTTGTGGAGGCTGCATTTCTATATAATATGTATCATTTCACCCACAGCTCTTTACCATTCAGAAGGTCCTGGGTCCACTTCCTGCAGAACAAATGAAGCTTTTCTACAACAACCCTCGATTTCACGGCATCAGGGTAATTTCACCTCCATTATTTTAACATGTGGGGTTTGTGTGACATCACTACACAGAGAGTCAGCCGTGTCAGTCCGCAGTGTAAGAATGAGATGTGTTTGTGTTGAATGATAATAATTCAATTACAGCGTTTCTGTCACTGTATGAGGCCATTGTTTTATTTCACAAAACCTACTTTCTGCAATAACATAGAGATGTATTTGTTGATATGTATTGACTAAAGTACATATTTATTTTCTTCTGGGCAGTTCCTCTTTTGCTCACCACATTACAACTAGTAACTATTTATAAATACATTCTATACTGCGGCACATTCCATAGAAAATAATAGCATTTGTTTGGAGACAGTAAACAAAATTAGAACTATTACTGTAAAAAAAAACAAAAAACTGTTGGCATAGTAAATTTGTACAGAAATAGTCGAAATATGACTTGTCAACTTTTGACCAGGGGTGTCCAAACCTTTTAGCAAGAGGCCCGCCTTAGTTTGCCATGGATTGACTGGAGTCGGGCTGTTTTATGAGGCATGACACGTCTATATTGGAGCTGAAGTTGGCTGAATGACAAATGTTTACTCAAATAAATTAGCATCATACACAGCGAGGTATAGCACTGTTTATGATCTCAAATACGACTTTGGTCAAAACTACTTTCTGAAGCAGTAGTTTTGACATTTCTGCTTCAGACAAGTGAATTCTACAATAGTTATGATTTAATTTTTGTAGCCTATTTTGTACAAACTGCCACTAACAATGCATTTTAAGTTCACCGGCACAGATCAGAACAGAACTATTTACTTCTCCGTTTCTCTTCCTCTCTTCGTCTCCTGTGGCAGCTTTCCCAGCGCCACATCGCCTGCTATGACTCATGGAAAAGATAGGTGGTTCGTGTTGGGTTTAGCAGCTAGAGAAAATATCCCAGAAGGCTTAGCGGGGTGCGTGAAAGAGTGTTTGGACCAATGAATCTGCTGTGAAATTATCCTAAATTTTGTGTATTTTTTCTCGTCTCTGTGTGTTCGGTGCCAGTTTCCTTCAGTAACTCATCCACAGACGTTGGAGAGAAGATACCAGGGAATTATGAGCGGTCTGATGTTGGATCTGATGAAGGTATTGGTTCTGGGCATATGAGTAATTCATGACAATAATCCTGTGACCTACTGTGGCAGCAATGGTATAAACTTTTATGCATTTTGAACAGTCATCATTACTCTTACATACTCTTATTCAGGGGTGGGAAATTATTGTTTTCGGGGATAACGTTTTTGGGATATTGACCCGTTTTCTTTTGGTTATTTTTGAATTCAGATTGTCAAAAAGCTACTTATGTGTTAACATTCTGTTTGGACCAACCCTGCCCCCATCTCTGTGTGGAGTGAGAGACAAATGCCAAACAATTATTAAGCGTTTTGTGACTCTGGTCTGTAAAAGGCGCTATATAAATAAAGAGTACTTACTTACAAACACAATGTATTACTATTATTATCAAAGTCATGTACCCCAGATTTAATAGATGTGGTGACTTTACTGTATTCACATTTTACAAATGCTATTTAACCATTTTTAATGTTGAAATTATTCTAGATTGTGAGTGGAAATCACACTATGGAGCTGTGTGGAGTTTGCATGTTATCCCTGTGTCTGGTTTCCTCCATGTGTTTCGGTTTCCGCTGCCACAAAAACATGTAGATTGGGACTAGGCTTGAAAACTGTCCTTGAGCTACTTCTTCTGTACAGTAGTTGCAGTAGCTGTTCATTAAAACATACAGTTCCCAGTGGGAATACCGGCGTTGAAATAAACGTCGTTACTAACGCCGTTACTTTTTTCAGTAACGAGTAATCTAACAAATTACTTTGACTGTAACTGTAATGATAACGGCGTTATCATTGCCGACACCCCGTTACTGCACGTTACTCAAGTCGCACAATGAACTGCTTGCCCACACGCCCGCTGGGCGTCGTGAGTTTGCTCCTCTCTTCAGTCCCAGCGCTGCTACAGGACCGCAGCCCTTCACTGCTTATTTCACACGTGTGTGTCATTGTGTGTTGCACAGTAGCGGTGTCAGCGGCAGTCTGCAGCGTCTGGCACACGTGACATCTGCTGCTTTGCCTACTTTTCCACCTTGTTGTGGCCTTATTGTCCTTTATCTGTGCTGCTACTTCCCTCTAATAATCTATTCTGCTCCCCACCTCATCTATTGCCCCGTTCACATTATTCCAGTGGCTGTAGATGCTCCGGCCGCGCTCAGCGCTTTTCCCTCGTTCTGGTCTGTCAGGCGCGAGGGCTGCTGAACGAAGGGGTCGTGTGTGTCTGTGGGAACTGATGATTTAAAAAAAGTCTCTTTCAGTTGCAAGTTTTATGTGTTTTGTTTGATCAATGTATAAAAAAATGCAATGTAATTTAAATGGAACCTTGGCCTGTCTTATTATTACCTGTGTGCCTTACAGGACAGTTCCCTAAACTAAAATAGGGTGGCATTGTTGCAACAGTTAATCTACTTAGAAGTTATCCTAAATTACAACCAGCCAAAGCTCGGTACAACGACAAACAAAAAAGTAACATAATAGTTACTTTTACTGGTAACTAGTTACTTTTATATTAGAGTAACTCAGTTACTTTTTGGGAGAAGTAACTAGTAACTATAACTATTTACTTTGTCAAAGTAATTAGTTATGCCCAACACTGTCAGTTCCATACAAATAGATACATAAAAAACTATTCTAAAGTAACACATACATACATTTCTAACAAATGAAAAGAAACCATATTTTAATTACTTTAATGGATTTCAAAATGTGAGTTTGATGTGTGCCACAATGTTAGATGTTTTAATTCAAACTATGATGCATGCTTACTATCAGATGAAGTTAAAAATATCCATAATAATAATCTATTACACAAACTAATCCTTGTGTCTTGTGCCTCAGAACCTGCTGCTTCTGAACCCCACAGAGCGATACCTGACGGACCAGAGTCTAAACCACCCGGTGTTTCAACCTCTGCGGCAGGTGGAGCGAGAGCGGCCTCCCCCGGCCTCCCCCAACCCCTCACGCTCCTCCAAGAGAAAGACCCACCATCACGGAGAGAACACGGTCCCAACCAGGTCCGGACACAGCACAACTATTACTGGACTGTAAGATGATAGTCTAACTGATTGAAGAACAATGGGATATTATATACAATTCTTATGACTACCAGATATAGCTGCCCTTAGCTTTAAATTATTGAAATGTGGCAGTTCATATCAAGTGGCAATCATCAACCAATGCCACTTATTTTTGTATAGCCCTAAATCACAACAGCAGTTGTCTCAGATTCACCAAGAACAAATTCAAGAATCAAACTTCGAATGCAGGAAAGCAATAATAACAAAGAGAAGGGAGCCATTGGTCCATAGGGAGCAGGATAACCATGTTCATAAATGTTTATAATTGTCCATAAATGTCCTTAAATGTGCCAGATCATCACTGTCCTTTGACTCTCCTTCCTTTCAGATTAGTAGCGCATCTGAAAGGAATGATGGAACAAAAAAGTGAGAATTGAAAAGCCTTGGGGAGGCCCACGTTGAGTGAGGGATCCACTCCTATGAACTAACAGACTAAAGAACTAGGACTGAGGCTGTGTGGTGTAGAACCGAGGAGGCTCCCTGGCTGGGAAGAGGGATCCACAGATCTCATCTGCTTTATACAGTTTATATTCTTTGGAGTTAGGTTGAATGAGCAACAGCGTAACTTGCAATGCACAGAAAATACTCACATGAAGTAATGTTTGTGTTCCATCAGGAGCCACAGTAAGAACACGTCTCATCGCCGCTCCAACAGTAAAGAATGTTCCAGCCTCCCCCGTCATGGCGATCTTCATCACCTCGGCAACGACAACTTCCTCAATGGAAACAAGGGGGCGCCGTCGAGCCTTAGCCCCACCCTGCACCCCAAGACCCAGTACCTGTCCCAGACACTGAACCGCTCGGCCTCCTCCAGCAAAGACCTGGTCAACAACAACATCCTGCCACATTTACTCAGCCCCAAAGACAAAACCAAGGAGTTTGATTTCAACATGGGACCTTCTCCAAAACTGTCTGACCCGGGACATGGGGCCAAGTACGGACACGGTAAAACCGGCTCGTCCCGGTCCCAGCAGCAGCAACAGCAGCAGCAGCAGCAACAGCAGCAGCAACAGCAGCAGCAGCAGGCGGGCAGGCATACCTTCCATGAGGGGAAAACCAACACACTGCAGTCAGCTCCGGAGAAACATGGGCGGCACGGACACACTCAGAGGTGGGCACTGTCTTTGTCGTAAAAATGAATGGGATGTTCCTTAAAGTGGTTCTCACCCCCGCTCCTCGGAGCTTACGTCACTCACATTTCCTGTTCAAATCTTCCTCTAAATGGGCGTAGCCTGGAGGACTAAAGGGGGCGTGAACGAGACTGGGCCATTTACATTGCTCTGGGCGGGGGGGCTGTGACGTCAGGTCTTGCTTCAGACATCAGGTCTTGATGCCGCGCCAGTGTTGGCGCCAGATTCAAAATTCAAATGTAGTAATACAGGTCGCCAGCAGATGGCGCCTCACAGACGGTTTTAGGCAGAAAGATTAACTTTCAACTAATTTGCACCAAAGTGACAAAATTATGACCAGGATATGTAGACAACACTATTGGACACTCATTTATACCGTTTATCAGCAAAAAAAAGTGGATTTGAGGGTGAGTTGTCCTTTAAGGATCAAATCAAGTATTCCTTCACTATTCTGAGCTGGCGATAGGAAACTGCAACTGAAGAATCAACTTTTGTGTCTCATTTCTTTGTGTTTTAGATTCAAACTGCATGTGTTTCTTTGACTGGTTTATCCACCTGTCTATCACACCATGATAACTCGGTAAATACACAAGACTGTAGCTTTTTGCTGGTCTTACATGTGGGCCATGGAAACGTGTTCTTATAAAAAAGGACTTTTATGAGCTTTTGTGCTTGCATCCCTAGTATCCCTAGACTCTTGAAGATGTGGATGAATCATGTGCTGATGTCACGGTGGGCAGCTGTGGCTACAGTGGTAATTTAGCCCCACTGTGTTTGGAGTGAATCAATATTTCCATGTAAAGCCTCTTTGAGTGTCCAAAAAAGTGCAGTATGAAACGTATGCATTATTTTATTATTATAAAGACAATGTTTGTTCATAGTCTAATCTGTGTTTCTATAATATTTGTAAGTTGATCTCACCATAAAAAAGTAGCGCATAATTTGAAGTGAATGCTCTTTCCCTGTGAGCAGCATGGCGGACTCGGCCCACGGGTCCATGTCATCCTCCTCTAAGAGCTCCACCTCCTACCTGAGCCTGTCCAAGAGCCACAGCGCCCTGAGCGACGCCAAGTCTGTGGGGAACCTTAGCGACACACGCCTTCACCCAGACGACCCCAACGCCAACGCGCCCGCGGGGGGACCAGGGACACGCTTCTTCCCTACCAGCTGTTTGGACCTGAACACGCAGGCGGGACCCCAGGGACCACCCGGGAGCCCCTCCAACCGTCACAGCGACCGCTCCGGACACAGCCCCGCCTCCCGCAGCGGGGGGAACATGCGCATGGAGAGCAGCACCCTGGACTCCTCTTCAAGACACAAGTCCAGGCATAAATCTCTGGTGCCAGGTGAGAACAGACACAGGATCAGTCCAGACCAAAAGAATCATTCTAGATACACAAACACACTGCAACAAACTCTCATGAGAGAATCTGTCTGAACTTCGGCAGATTAAAGCTGGGTACCTAACCTTTTTGTTTCATAAATTATATATTTTGTGAGTTTATTGAAAGATGTGACGGAGGCCAAGAAAGTGATTTAAAAACTAATGATAGAACCAAATTGTTTTGAGAGCAAGGAACAAGTTAGATCTTCTTGTATGGTTGTTGTTTTTTTGTGGGTTTTTTTTGTGGTTCTCAAACTAATTGAACTCCCAGAGCCGTCATTTTGACTACTTCCTTTCAAATTAATGGAAATCTTGGGGCAATTTGGGGGATTCTGAGAAATTCAAATTCAGTTTTATTCAAAGTAACCTTCACTAACTTTTAGTTAGTGTCTAAAACTGGTAAATATGACAAGAAACAAGATGAGACAAAGACCAATCCAGAACCAATCCAGAACCTGCCTAGAACCATTCCAGGACCAGCTACTTTAAAAGGGAACAATGAATGGAGCTAAAGGTAGTCCTCCTTGCATTAAACAATTTATAGAAACATAATTCAAACAACAACATAGAAATAAACTACATATAGATACAGAAAGTATCAAAGTTCAGACCATCAAAAAGGTTCTTACACTAACTGACTACTCTGGGAGTTCTAGTGTTAAAGTTTAATACTGCAACTTTAAAGGGAAAGGAATGCTGTCTGCTCCATTTTGTAAAAGTCCTTGTGTAATTATTTAAATGTCCGAACAGAACCGGGTGCAGAGCTGCTGGACCCTGGAGGACCTGGGATCTCGTCCACTCACACGCTGCCCTCCTCCCACGAGTCGTACCACTACGGCCTGGGCTACACGTCGCCCTTCTCCTCTCAGCAGCGGCCCCAGAGACACTCCATGTACGTGCGGCGGGAGCGACACAGGACCCACGGAACCACGGAAGGGATGGCAGGGCCCGGGCTGCCGGTCCCGGGTCAGGCCATCCCCACGCGGGCCTCCAGTCTCCAGTTGCTGTCCCCTCAGCTCCAGCACCGCACCATGCTCACTGGACACTCGGTCAGCTCGTCCAGGGAGGACTGCACTGACACCATGGCAAAAGTTAGTGTCCTTCTTTCATTCTTTACCACTGTGGGGCAAGTTACCTCAAAACTGTAATACATTATGCATTACACTTGTTACAGTTATTACTGCATTACTTTTAAGTTACTTTCACCAATTTGGTTAAAGTAACTTAAAAGTAATGCAGTATATATATATATATATATATATATATATATATATATATATATATATATATATACATATTTACATACTAAATGTAGCTTATTACGCTATTGAAAATGCCTTACATTACAGCAGAAAGCATTACATTACTCCCACTTTTCTTTATATATATGCAACATAAACTTTTAAAGATTTTAAAGGCTCTGTCTTCAACATCACCCCAACAACAGGATTTGTGCAAACTAGAGATCGAAGGATATATTGAACTGATTTTTGATGTTTTTGAATGATTGTGTAGTGGCCCTTCTTCCCATTTGGCATATAACAGATGTACTTTGGTGCGTGGCCATTGAGAGACTTGTGAACGAGCAGAGCTGCTTTAAAGGCAGTGCACCGCTTCCTGCGCTGAAGTTTTCAGCTGTTACATCCTAAGATAATAGTACTCTAACAAACTTTCACAAACACCAAAAACGTCAATACATTCAAAAGAGTGCTGCAGAATCTTTGTGACTGCTCGTCCTAAACCTGACTTGTACAGTGCCTTGCGAAAGTATTCGGCCCCCTTGAACCTTTCAACATTTCGCCACATTTCAGGCTTCAAACATAAAGATATAAAAATGATTTATTGGATAATTTAAGCTTTTTTAACAAATAAAAAACTGAAAAGTGGGGCGTGCAATATTATTCGGCCCTCTTGCGCTAATACTTTGTAGCGCCACCTTTTGCTGCAATTACAGCTGCAAGTCACTTGGGGTATGTCTCTATCAGTTTTGCACATCAAGAGACTGGAATTCTTGCCCATTCTTCCTTGCAAAACAGCTCGAGCTCAGTGAGGTTGAATGGAGAGCGTTTGTGAACAGCAGTCTTCAGCTCTTTCCACAGATTCTCGATTGGATTTAGGTCTGGACTTTGACTTGGCCATTCTAACACCTGGATACGTCTATTTCAATCTGGAGAGACGAGGAGACAAAATGCATTTGAAGTTTTTTATTGAAAGGTAGTTTGGCGCCCTAGGCCCCAGTGCGGCGTTCAGTCAGCGAGGCTCCTGCGAGAGTGCGCGCACAATCCCCCGGGACCTAGGCACTGGTGGCGGCATTCGGCAGCAGGAAGAGGCATGATTGAGGCAGGGTGAGAAAAAGGAGGAGGAGGGGAGGCGGTGGTTTGCAAGGCTTCGAGAAGGCCGTAAAGTGGGAGTTTCTCCGCTTTTAAGCGGCTGGCCTGGCCGGCATAGGTTGGTTGGAAATGGGCGTTTGTTGTGCGATAGGCTGGGGATGCGAGGCCGGCCTGGAAGGGGTGGCTTTGGCTGACGTCTTCCAGAATTGAATTTCCGCGAGGCTGCATTTCAATCTGGAGAGACTTTGAGGAGACAAAATGCATTTGAAGTTTTTTATTGAAAGGTAGTTTGGCGCCCTAGGCCCCGGTGCGGCGTTCAGTCAGCGAGGCTCCTGCGAGAGTGCGCGCACAATCCCCAAAAGGCTGTGCGTTTGATGGAGTTTTTAGGCAGGCCTGGTTAGCAGGGAACAGACAAACGTGCACCGCTATATATAAATATCCATTGTAGATTTGGCTTTATGTTTTGGATCATTGTCCTGTTGGAAGATAAATCTCCGTCCCAGTCTCAGGTCTTTTGCAGACTCCAACAGGCTTTCTTCCAGAATGGTCCTGTATTTGGCTCCATCCATCTTCCAATCAATTTTAGCCATCGTCCCTGTCCCTGCTGAAGAAAAGCAGGCCCAAAGCATGATGCTGCCACCACCATGTTTGACAGTGGGGATGGTGTGTTCAGGGTGATGAGCTGTGTTGCTTTTACGCCAAACATATCGTTTTGCATTGTGGCCAAAAAGTTCGATTTTGGTTTCATCTGACCAGAGCACCTTCTTCCACATGTTTGGTGTGTCTCCCAGGTGGCTTGTGGCAAACTTTAAACGAGACTTTTTATGGATATCTTTGAGAAATAGCTTTCTTCTTGCCACTCTTCCATAAAGGCCAGATTTGTGCAGTACACGACTGATTGTTGTCCTATGGACAGACTCTCCCACCTCAGCTGTAGTTATCTGCAGTTCATCCAGAGTGATCATGGGCCTCTTGGCTGCATCTCTGATCAGTCTTCTCGTTGTTTGAGATGAAAGTTTGGAGGGAAGGCCGGGTCTTGGTAGATTTGCAGTGGTCTGATACTCCTTCCATTTCAATATAATTGCTTGCACAGTGCTCCTTGAGATGTTACAGTCTTTTTGTATCCAAATCCGACTTTAAACTTCTCCTCAACAGTATCTCGGACCTGCCTGGTGTGTTCCTTTGTCTTCATGGTTCTCTCTGCGCTTTAAACAGAACCCTGAGACTATCAAAGAGCAGGTGCATTTATACGGAGACTTGATTACACATAGGTGCATTCTATTTATCATCATCAGTCATTTAGGACAACATTGGATCATTCAAAGATCCTCACTGAACTTCTGGAGTGAGTTTGCTGCACTGAAAGTAACAGGGCCGAATAATATTGCACGCCCCACTTTTCAGTTTTTTATTTGTTGTCCCACTTGTTGTTGATTCATGACAAAATGACATTTTTTATATCTTTATGTTTGAAGCCTGAAATGTGGCGAAATGTTGAAAGGTTCAAGGGGGCCGAATACTTTCGCAAGGCACTGTACTTGTTGTTTCTTTTGTTGCAAAGAATGTTCTGTCGTAAAGTTGTAATCTGCTGTTTGTGTAGAAACATGCAGGTGACATCCCACCTGCAGAACATTGCATCTTGTACATTTAAGAGAAAGTATAAGTTAGTGTCTTGTGTTCTGGTTACTGGTGTTATAGCAAATATGACTTATACTGTTTGAACTAATGCTAAGTAATGAGTGGTTTTATTGTTTAACAAATAGAATTTGTTAAACAAAATTGCCTGTTTTTGGGCACAAAGGAACTGATGGTGTCATTGTCTTTGGTTTGTGATGGGATTGATCCGGCTTTCATTGGATAACATGTGTTTCATCCTGTGGCAGTTGGCCAATGAGTGACCTGCCCCATGTGATAAAGCTTGTAGTAATTTTATTGTGCTTCAGAGTTTTTTTTCCGGGCCTCTCTCTTTGCAAAGTTATGTTTACTTTTTCTGTGTTACTTTATGAAACCACACATAATAAAGCTCTGTTTCTATGGATCATTATGATGACATTTTCACAAAAAGGTTATGTGTCAAAAGTGAAGCAAAGCTGTTCTCTGTGGTCCTGAAATACATCTTCGATTTTGTCTGGAGGCACTCTTGTGGTGTGTATGTGGTGGTGTGTGTGTCTCCATGGAGATGTGGCTTTGGCCAGAATCTTCCTCAGTAAACTATACCATAACAATACCCATCCCAGGTCGCAAAATTGGTGTTCCCCACAGGCGTTGATGTGGCCCACAGACTGCATGGATTTCAATTCCTCAACAACAGATCAGAAAATCAACAGTTTGAACACAGGAAATATTTGGCCAATTTGTAGTGGCCCCTGAAATTATTTTAAATAATCTATATTTATATTTATTTATAATTTAACTTGCAGCATAGATGGTGGTGGCATACTATGGCATTTTAAAGCATATTGCCTCAGGAAATCAACCATAGACTTGTATCTGTTCTAAAATGTTAAATCAAATGTAATTAGAATATATAGTTACTTAATATTTTTATTTAACTATCAATCTTTCAATACATCTTTTATTGATACATGGCCAAGTTGTGTTTGAATCCAAACCGACTAGACAATAATATTCAAACTCATGTCAAATATATTGATTTTCTCATAAGTCAAAAAAATGTCAAAAAAACTTAAACAATTATACTTCAGGCCCTAACCAGCTCTGTTGTTTTTTTTTTTTTTTATTTGGCTCCTGACCAACATGAGTTTGACACCCCTGGTCCATAGGGAGCGGGATGACCAATGTCCATAAATATAGCGGGGGAACATCAGTGCCAATTTTTTCCCAGATGCCAAAAATGGCCAACTCATCCTCTTTCATTTCTTCATATTGGAATTGCCGTTCTTGGGCCACTTACAGTACTCCAAATGAGACAGATCTGTTCCATACAGGCTGTATTTATGTAAAAAGACCCACATTTTTTGCCACATGCGCTTGCTATCTATCTGGGACGGACACTTCAGGCCACTACATTATGCCTGATGTGTGCGCTGTATTTGCACCTGCTGCTGTGGCTAAAGCTGTGTGCATCATTGTCACGCTCGCTGCTGCCTGTGTCTACTTTGACCTACATCTGTGCGTCTCTTTGACAGAGCGAGCCGTCTCCTAAAGACATGGGTCACCCGTGTGCTCCCATCAAAGAGTCTTCGCGGGACAACACAGCTTTTCACTCACAGCGCTCTAAAAATGAGGTCCGAACTTTCACGCCGTCCTCTCACTGTCATGAACTCAGGCTCTTGATTCATTCATATGTAAATGACTGATTACAATGGTTAGTCGCCGTTAACCTCAAAACTGGTCTGATGCTTATTTAAATGAATCAGGAGTCCTTACCCAGAGAAGGCCTGACATGTTATAAATGTATTCTATTATAAGTAATGATCTGCTCTAAACCAAATGTCCAAAAACACAAAGAAAACACTGGGTAAATTCATGTTTGCTGAACACATACAGATACAGATAAAGATACATATTCTTTAAAAGTCGCTTTTTGCTAAATTAAATAAACAATTTGAAAAACAGTCTTCTTTCATTCTGTATAATCACTGTAGAGAATCGACCTCTGGGTAGGTGTCACATTCAAATCTGTCCCACCAGGTACAACCATATAAACATTTATATATATATATATTTATATATATATATATATGTAACAGGTCAGGCCCTCCACAATGTAACCCCCTGAGGATAATAATTGCCCTCCCCTGGTCTAGATGATTACACTTCAATAGAAACTATTGTGTTCATGAGCTTTCTTGTCTTGTGTTGTTGATATAAATGTGGCTCATTGAAAAGCTTCACATTGTCTCATATTGTGTGGGGCAGTTTGGTTATCATCCTTAAGTTTTAACTTACTATTTATTCTTGTTTATGTTCGTCCTGATCTGCAGCAGGTCAATATGTATCACGACCCTCATGCTGAAGATGGCGGCTCCAAAGAAAACCGGATGATCTTCACTGAGTCGATGCCTCGGCGAGTCGGCAGCTTCTACAGAGGTATGTGGACTGTGGCTTTAAGCGGGTTATAAAACACATATAATCATGCTGCCAAAGAATTAGAATCAAAATTATTTTTGTATCAGTCATAAAATAGGAATTTGCAGAAATAAACCTGATTGAAATGCAAATGCATGACATGCACTGGGAAAAGCTTAAAGGGCCATATTTTAATTTTGTTTTAATTATTTATTTATTTATTTTTTATTGTATAGCCCTCAATTACAGCAGCAGTTGTCTTGGAGGACTTTACAACGTTGTTAATTCAGATCAGATAATAAAACTGAGATTTAATAATAACAAACACATAGGAGCCACTGGTCCATAGAGAGTGGGATGATCACTGTTAACTCCTTAGACCCTCCCGCAAGGAACGAACTGAACTTACCGCAAGGAACTGACCACTCCTTATGCCGCGTTCAGACCGGATCATGCGTTGCGTCTGCTTTCAATGCGAAGTCAATGGTGACGCGCGTTCGAGCGTCAAAACGCACGGACCTCTCGGCACACACGCACGGACCGCTCAGTAGAGACGCACAGACTTGGCGGGAAAGTCAAAGGGGAGGAGCAGGAGGGGAAAATGGACGCCCACAGGAGATAAACTTTGCTCAACCTTTCCTTGGGACTTTCTTGCAGCGACCAATCAGAGAGCTGCAAAGTGGTCACGGGACATTAGTGGTCTGAGCGAGCAGACTGAAAATACTGTAAACAGCCAAAACAGGAGCTACACCAGGACTAAACCAGGACTAAACCAGGACTAAACCAGGACTAAACCAGGGTTGACAATGGGGGACTGTGTGCTTGTGAATATATATGCGTTGTCATGCTCCCGTGACCTTTTGCAACTGCTTCGAGTGTGTTCGCCGATGCAGAAGCTCCGTTTAATAATAAAATTAACTTATTGCGCACCTCCGTGAACACATACTACTGTTATATAAAGTCCGTGGAAGGTCTCTGAACACAGAGACCAAGCAGAGCTGCATATTGGAGAAGATCTGTACACCAGAAGCCGCTAGCATAGCTCTGTTAGCATTAGAGCCGGCCGGATACTTCCGCCACTTTCGGCGCCGGTCAGGACGTTCTGGTGTGAAGACCTCTGCGTCTGAAAACTAGAGAATGCACGTCTGGTGAGCGGGGCGTCAGCGTTTGAGCGTTGGCGGTCTGAATGCACCATTAGACCCTCCCGCTGAGGCTGTAGATCCAGAACTAATGCTGAGGATTTTATTCAGCAAACCCCTCACCCTTGAGAATCTATAACTTTAAACTTTTGTCTTTTCAGTAGCGTTGCAAGAACATAATGAAAAAGGAATAAAAGGTGAAGCAAAGGGACTGTGCAACAGATTTAACTATTGTTCAGGCTCCAAGATGTTTGTCTGACTGTAATATGTTTTGGGCTTCTGTCCACAGAAATCTGAGTTGGAAAATGGACCTGTTCAAGATAGGCAATGACCATTTTGATCCCAGTAGAGCCTTTTTCTTCCAAATTAATTTTCAATATCCCCTTATTCCGTCTGCTTTGTTTGAAGAGGGATCACAGTACTTGTGTGTTGGATCAGGAGCTCTCAGGTTCACTTAGAAAACTCTTAAAAACCACATGGCTTTTGTTACATGATTTGTGGCATTCTGTCATTTTCATGTTAGTCGAAATTGTAGTGAGTCATTTTGGATGTGTATTTTGTTAACTGACAAATAAATAGTATATAAATAAATATAAAATTATTCTCCACCAAAATAGTTTAAATATAAATATAATATAAATACTGATTTCCTCTTTGGCATAGGACTTTAAAGCTGGGGTAAGTAACTTTTACACGTCCCAAAAATTGACCTGTGTAATAAATTGTGGAGCCACCTGCATGTGAAAGACAGATCCAATCCAATCTCAGAAGCTAAAACTAGGTGCCACAGTGACAAATTTTCTTTTAGTTATTTTTTGGAAAGCCTCCTGCGACATGTGTCTGAGCTTTGAGATGTTGCGCAAGTGGAAGTATTTCTGTATTTCAAAATATATTCACCAGTTTTAGCACTTATACTCAAGTCAATTTTGGCATGGACACTTTTTGACCTCACCGTTTCCCTCAGTCCCGTCTCCTCGGCCGGATAACTCCTCGTTTCATGACTCGGTGGGTCAGCCGCGGGGCCCCGTGGTCCCTGTGATGCCCGGAGTACCAGGAGCCACTGTGGTGCAGAGCGTGTCTGTGTCCGGTGTTCCCGGAGTCGTTCCCGGAGACCCCAACCACCCACCTGTTGTCATGGGCAACCACTCCAAGAGGCAGACCGCTTTTGAATGGTGAGTGTCCTGTCATAAATATGAATTAGATTTGTGCAATTACAGTGTGATATCGCTTTGAGCTACTTCAGCCTCTGCTACATACTGTGTTTACATTCTACTGGAAAATTATTAAAGACATATTTGTTCAAAATGTTGTTTTATTGTTGTCCTTCAAAGGTCCCATATTGGCTCTTCTTCATTGTGATAAGGATTTGGGTGATACACCATACAACACACAAAACTTGTGAAATTATAGCCATTTCTTGCAGAGGTGATGCCACCTCAATTGAAAGGAGCTAATCTCTGCTCCTCTGCCTGTGAGCACGCTTCTCCTCACCCATGCGGTGCTTCACGCTAACCAAGAAGAAAACAAGTCAGCATGAAAGCGAAACCAACCTCAGAATAAACTTTTTCCAACAACGGCGACACGTCACACCCTATTAGAACCCTATTTGCTCGCTGTCTTTGGTGAAGTGTCACTTGCAGATGAACAGATTTGTCACTGATTTCAGAGGCAGATCCCCGTGAACAGAAAGTCCAGCCACATTTGCTGCATTCTTCTTTCTCCATGTTCACATGATGCTAACACTTGTGGTCGTTGATAATAGCAGAAAAACAGACATGAAGTGAACAAAGACTTTGGTAGATGAGATACCATACGCTGGGAAAGGCTGTGCGCGCTGAGTCTCTGTTTGGGTATCTCATCTGTCAATCACCCCCTGGAGGCGGGGCTTCTGCAGGTCGTGCAGTGTAACAAAGTGTGGCCAGGTCACAAAGTGAATTGAGTTGTTTTTCTGCCTCTCAAGAATAGTAAGTAAGTAAGTAAGGTTTATTTATATACCGCCTTTCACAGACAAGGGTCACAAAGCGGTTTACAATTGTTATTATTTTTTGGGCACTTGTCTCTCACTCCACACAGAGATGGGAGCGGGGTCGCCGAACAGGAGGCGCATACCAGATCTATTGTACATATTTTTAGTGGTAGGGGAAACCGGAGTACCCGGAGGAAACCTACGCAGACACGGGGGGACCGGAATTTGAACCCAGGACCTTCTTGCTGAGAGGCAAGAGTGCTATCCACTCAGCCACCGTGCCGCCCATAATGAAATAGAAATATTGTTCTCTAACTGAAGCTCAAGGAATTAATGACAAAATGACTTCTGTATGAAGGCCAAATAGCACCGTAATGATGTTTAAAGCATAGAAAACTCAAAAACCTTTAAACATTATCTTGAGAATAGTGACTTTGGCGATTAATGTTTCAGGAATACAGGAATAGAATTACTAGGCAAGGCAAGTTTATTTGTATAACACAGTTCATACACAAGGCAGAAACAATCATACAAGGCATTCAAACCACAAATAATCACTGTACATTAAATTCTTCAGATGTCTGCACAGCTGAACAGAATTTTAGTTCGACCTGGATTGAACATTGTCAAAGCAGAAGCCTGTCTCTCATTTTCAGGAAGACATTTCTAGATCATAGCTGCATAAATCTGAAATACAGCCTCCCCATGTTTAGTCCTGACTCTGGGCACCAGCAGGAGGCCAGTCCCTGTGCTCCTCAGAGTTGGTTCATAAGGCACTAACATGTCACAGATGTCCTCTGGTTCAAGGCCATGGAGAGACTTGTAACAAGCTGAGCCACAGGAAGTCAGTGCAGAGACCTGAGAACTGGACTAATGTGATACTACTTCCTGGTTCCAGTCAGGACTGGTTTTTTCAACTGTTTTAGAATTTGTAACCAGGTCTAAACCACAATTGTATGTTTGTAATACATCCACATAATAGACTGTAAATAGCACTATAGGGAAGTGTTCATGAACAAAGTTTTGCTCCTACCCGCTGTGGCTCCTTTTGACTTCTGAAGAAAAAGAGTCCTGAATGCTCAATTTTGTCTTTTATTTTCTAACTCAGCCAAACCACAAACAATATTGACACACATTCATAAACAATATGTGAAATTGGTAAATGGCTTAAATCTTGTATTGGATGATTACACACATAAGAAGAGTTGTACTATAAAACCTTCTCACCCCTTCTCTGTCACAGTCTTGTATTTTCTACCTTGTTTTCAGGCCTGGAGCTGAAGTGATGGTCATAAATCCCCCAGAGCCCATCAAAGAAAAGGAAAAACAAGGATTTTTCAGAGCCATCAAGAAGAAAAAGAAGAAAACTCAGATGGTGAGAGTATGTTCTTTATATAACTGTGATCTCTTGTTTTGTGAGGGAAAAATGTGAAGCACTTTAAAAGGCTTCAGTTTGTTTTCATTATTTTGCACTTTGATTGTATATTTTTCTAAAGAGCGGCACCGGTATGTAAAATGTTTTTCTCTGCTTGTCTCCTTGGACTGACAAGTATCAGTATTAGACTATGTACTTAAATAAAAGAGTAGATGCTGCAGCTTTGGTTAAAGCAAACGTACTGAAATTATTCTCTTACTTACTAAAGTAATCATGTGAAATGCCTTTTTGAATATGGACAATAACTTTATTTGAGACATTTTAAGGGTTACTGAATAATAATTATCTCATCTTAGAAGCGTGGCTAATCCTTTATGTCATAAGAAACTATTACTTTTCAAATGTAGCAACAAGAAGGAACAGATATTTTGTTTTAAAAGTCACTCTAAACAGGAAACGCAATAATAATAAACACAGGAGTCATCGGTTCAGAGGGAGTGAGATGACCACTGTCCAGAAATGTCCTTAATGTGTCCCCCTCCCAGATCATCACTGTCCTGAGACCCCCCTGCATCGGCAAAGGAACAATATTATAGTCCATACATGTACATGCTTGAAGGCCATTTGGATTTACTGAATCCAGCTGTCTGCAGTAATGTCTTCTGTAGCTAGCTTCAGGCCCTGTGTTAGGCTAATAGAGACATTGTGGTTGTCAAGAACATTTGTTTTCCCCTCTGTAATGATCATGTCACAAATATGTGTATAACAGCGGGCCTCCCTAACATCTAGGTATTTCGTCCCACTGTGAGTTAACCATTAGCCTGTCTCAACCCTATCAACAAAATGTGAATATTTAATCTGGATCTATGAGAGCAGATCCCTCTCATTGTGGGTCTTGTCTTCTGTAGCTAGCTTCAGGCCCTGTGTTAGGCTAATAGAGACATATTGGCTGCCAAGAACATTTGTCTATCCCTTCGTGACTATGGAAATGATCACGTTGTGAATAGGTATAGTTTGAAAAGATAAATTATTTTTACTTGGCAGCAATGACACAACCACTAGCAATGAAATGGGAAAAACTGTTTTTGTTCCTTATCGCAAAAATACATACATGTACAGAGCTTATTAAAGTTATGCTATTTCTGGCCCACAGAACGACATGGAGGATTCGAGGAACCCGAGCATCAGGAAAAGCCTCTTCCCCCTCTTCAGCTCCAAGAACAGCCTCAAGCACAACTCGGCCGTCAAAGTTCTGCCTGTGGTGGGCTCGCCTCTGGTACAACAGCAGCCAGCGCCGCCCTACCCCGCCTCGCCTGTAATCTACCATCTCGAAACGCATGCACCTCAGAGTCCCTATACAGAGGACAGCTGTCGCACTGTTACAGAGGATGCATCGACACACACAGGGGAACGGACTGAAATTTACATTAGTGGCAAAAAAAAAATATTTAACTATTTTATTCACATTCATTATAACTACAACAGCAGGTTTTCTCCTGCTGACATGGCCAGTAGATGGCAGCGCAGACATGAGCTATTTAAAACAGTCTATTGAATTATTATAAGACTTCCTCTGGAAAAGTGTGGCAACTTTCAATACTGCATCCTGACTACTCTTATTTTGAAATCCTCTCAAATGCAAAGCTGTCGTGTTTGCAAAACAGGACTTTCAAAATAAGAGCTGTGTGACAAAAATATATTGTTGTCACTTGTTATAAACATTACTAAAGCATGGTCTCTTAAAATCTTTATTCATCAAGAACCTGGATTTTACTTTTTGTTTGTAAATACGTTGTGGCTTTACTGTTTAATCCATCCATCCATCCATTTTCTACCCTTTAATCCATTTCTGGGTCAGGGGGGTGGCAATCAGAGATGCCACCCAAGTCTCATAGCACCAGCCCCTCACTGACCCTCTGCAGGTGGTGAGTCCACAGGAGGACAGCTGCTCTCTGAGTGTGAGCCTTGATCTTTTAGCGGGGGATTTACAGCTTTACTGTTTAATATGATCCTTTAATTTTGAAACTGGATGCATGGAGATTACATCAGACACATTTGCAAACAAAACTCTCTGGATGTTATTGCTTTGCCTTGAATGTTCCACAGTATTGTATTTCTTTCTGTCCAACTGTATAACCTATTTCTATTTATCCTCATGTCAAAATGCCTCAACCGCATCAAAAACTGCATCTCATATTCTGTTTTCATATTCTGCTCCCAATTTTACCCCCATACGTTTTTAACCATTTTCAAATTAAAATGCAAGACTTTGATTTAAGTTGTTGCAAAACAACACAGCCGTTTATTGCAAATGTGGACATGTTTTTAAAAGTAAATATATATAACTATTTAGCAGACTGCAGACTTCTTTAGGCTAACACGTTGTGTGTTTTTGGATCATTTGTGAATGATCTTTATTCCCCACAGGTCCCTGGTAACGGACAGGAGCATCTCTCACTGCAGAGGAGCTCCAAGTCTTCGTCTCATCACAGCAGCCGCCGGAAAAACCGTGAGCGATCAAGAGACCGGGACAGAGAGAGAGAACGAGAGCAGAGCCGAGACCGAGAGAGGGACAGAGGAAGAGAGAGAGAGAGGGTGGAGTGGCCCCCAGAGAAACCAGTGGACTCACATTCGCAGGTACACCGGAGCTTCTGATAAGTAGTTTTCGATAATTTCACATTTTCCCAGGCAGATGAAAGCATGATCCACTTTGAATCTCCAAAGATAAGGAGGGTGGGGTCTGGTTAATACTTGGATGGATGAACACTAGAAAAAAACAGGTGCCACTAAGGGTAGCTCTAGAACACGGCTCTCAAACCGGTTCCAGAAAGGGCCATGTGGCTGCAGGTTTTCCAAACTGAGCAGGAGCACAGATGACTCCACCCATTTCCTCAAATCTTCAGGTTAAAACTGGACTCACTTGAGGAAATGGGTGGAGTCATCTGTGCTCCTGCTCAGTTTGGAAAACCTGCAGCCACATGGCCCTTTCTGGAACCGGTTTGAGAGCCCTGCTCTAGAGTCCCTTTAACTATAATCTGATGGGTGTATGACTGGTGGTGGTCGGAGGGGCCTGTGGTGCCTTCTGTCAGTCTGCCCCATCTCCGCTGTGTGTAACGGATCATTCACTGTGATGTTCTTTGGGTGTCGTGAAAGCCACACATGGCACCACCTGCCTTTGAAAGCCTTGTCAGATCTCACAAGGCCTGGTTAGTACTGTGATGGGAGACCTCTGGGAACAGCAGGTGCCACAGCAGATGCCAAAGTGCCAAACTGTCTTTGTGTCTTTAGGCAAGACACTTCAAGCACATACTAGACTCATTCTAGGCAATGTGGGTGAATGGTTGGTGAGGATCAGAGGGGCTGATGGCACATACTGGTTGCCTCGCTTCTGTCAGTGTGCCCCAGGGCAGCTGTGGCTATGGTAGTAGTTTGTCACCCCCGTGTAAGGAGGGAATGAATAATGACATGTGAAGCGTCTCTGAGTGTCCGAATAGAGCTATATAAAACCAATTCATTATCTTACAAACGTAAATATTAGATATGATGGCGTATATATTCATTGAGTATTAATTCTAGTTCTGAAGTAAAAACCAAGTGAATTTATTCTGTAAGACATGATGGATCAGTTTGCTCCCATATTAAGCGATCCTCAGCACACATACAAACCATGATGAATACCATAACATTTTGTTTGAATCTTGTCTTCTCCAGAGCCAGCCCCTGAAGTCTCTCCGTCGACTGCTGCATCTTTCCCCCTCCTCCTCGTCAAACCAGGGACCCCCTCCCGCTCCTCCCCCAGACCTGCGCTTCCAGGCCCCCCTGCCTAACCCACCACCGCCCACCTCCAAACCCGGATACCCCGAAGTGCGATCTCACGGGGAGAGCCGGGCACACCAGGTCGGCAGCAACTCCGGCCAGTCCAAAAGCCGCAAACCCAGCTACCCTCTGCCGGGACAGATCGAGTCCAGCTGGCACTTGACGGCGCTGCAGCGGGCCGAGGGCGCACAGTTCACCCCTGAGCAACTGGGCATCAAACCCGGGCAGAACGGACCCACGTTTACCCGCGCCTCCCGTCCCCGTATGCCCAACCTCAACGATCTGAAGGAGACAGCACTGTAACGCTTCTATGGACGACAAAGCAGTTCACACAGAGACTGTTTCCGTCTGTGGAACAGTCGGGCGCAGTGAATACGCCAGTGTCTTTACAGGATCAGACAGTAGAGGGCGCTGTGCTGTGTGAGGCCATGGTCACATGGAGAGAGGAGCAGATGTTACACTGTGGGGCAGAGCTGGTCCACACACTGTTTAGGGATGCCACAGTATTCTGAGCTGGGGGCATATTGAACTAGAGGTGTTAAGTTAAGCAATGAATCCCAACCAGTGGGGGCAGGTCCCGGCTCAAAAGTGGCCAAAATGACGTGCGCTGACATGCTTGCAATACCACCCCGGGCCGATGGGGGTGGACCCAGAAGAAGAATTAGCCAATGCTAACATATAGCGTTGGCAGACCTCTCGAAAACGTCTTTACGGGCGGCACGGTGGCTGAGTGGATAGTACTCTCGCCTTTCAGCAAGAAGGTCCTGGGTTCGAATCCCGGCCGGACCAGGGCCTTTCTGAATGGAGTTTGCATGTTCTCCCCGTGTCTGCGTAGGTTTCCTCCGGGTACTCCGGTTTCCCCTACCACTAAAAATATGTACAATAGGTCTGGCATGCGCCTCCTGTACTGGCGACCCCGCTCCCATCTCTGTGTGGAGTGAGAGACAAGTGCCCAAAAAAAAAAAAAACAATAACAATTGTAAACCGCTTTGTGACTCTGGTCTGTGAAAGGCGGTATATAAATAAATAAAACAAAAAAGCTTACAGGATGTTCCACATGTGTGTCAATGCTGAGGGGGGTGAATTTTTTTGGACCAGTCTAGTTTACTCGCTGTAAATTTTTGAAGGGGGCTCGTGCCGGCTGACGCTTGCGCAGATGCATTTTTTAAAATTTTCCAGCCCCCGCGGCCATTTGGAAACTGCCCATACACTGCGGAAGTTGTGACACATTAGTTAGAACGGCAGAGATAGGCGTGACTACGTCCGCTAATATTTAATCTGCTATTTTGAAAAAGCTACTAATTTAGTCATCAATTAATCCTTTTTGAACCTCACATAGACTTAAACATGCTGAGAAGAAGGTTTTATGACTCAATTCCATAATGACAGCAGAATTAAATTAAAATGTGTGTTCAAATTGTCCCGTTGGAGAGCGTGTTTTGGTTAAATATATAAAAAATCTCAGACCTAAACTTACTATCCCTACAGTATACCACGGCAACAAATAGATTATCAAAATTGTAAACAGAGACGGATGCACACTCATCTAGGCAGCGGAGATAGGCTTTACTATGGAACCAATGAGTGCATTACTGATGGTGTCTTTTGGTCTAATCCTCCTTTAATATGAAGCTCGAGCTTAATATGTGTTTAATATAACATGAGCCCTTTATAGACTAAAGGCAAAGCAAGTCTTTTGTTTTGCATAGTTCAGACAGAAGGCAACACAAAGCTCTTAACAAACCAGAAACAATCCCACAAGGCATTTCAAATCATAAATGATCATAGTACGTTAAAAAGCAGTCCTGACTCTGGGCACCAGCAGGAGACCAGTCCCTTTGAGATGGTTTCATTGCACTCACTGATGTTTAAGATGGGTCCAAAACTGTGTTGTGTTGAGACCACTTCTGTCCTACAGTGAAAGTGAACGAGTCAAAAAAAAACGGTCAGATGAGACACTGCCCTCTCGGACTCTCCAGCGCCATCTTCTGCTGACTGGACTGTACCACGAAACACAAACAAGAGACTGCCAATGAACTTTTTAAAACTCTATTTGATAAAAGAAAAAAAGGTTTATACACACATTATTTATTAATTATTTATTTGTTTTTCGATTCAAGGATATAAGCTATAAATGACACAGTATGTAGGATTTATGGGAATAAGTAAAACTATGAGTCAATGTGTAATAGTAAGAGCTTTAGTTTCCACGCAAAGAAATGCATAGAAAGATATTTATGAGTTAAAGAATACAAATGTTTGAAGGAATATTTAATAAGTGAATGTGGTGTGGTTCACTTCAATATGTGGCTCTCAAAATCTCACTATAATGCATTGTGTTTTGTTTTTTTGTTTTTTTTACCAAAATTGGAGAAACCATAATTCAAACATCACTGCTCATCCTGTTGCTTAAATGATGTCGACAAGTCACAAAATCATCAGGGAATCGTTTCACAAAGCTGGAATCTGTGTTGCCTTTAAATCCATGTTAAAATGTCAATCAAAATGTAAGATAAAATGTATTTGAGCAGGGACAATGTACAAAAATATTATATTATAAAGAAAAATATGCAATATCCTAAAAACAGATTATGTCACGTGCCAGGTTTTTGGGCGTGTGTGTTTGTGTGTGTGTGTGTGCGAGATACTTTATTCGTCCCATGGTGGGGAAATTTCAGTGTTACAGAACAGTAGGAGTGAGGAACACATATTTGCTAGTTATTAGCTGTGAATATTTACAAAAAAGTAAATTGTTTTTTTGCTTTAAGGCGAAAAAAAACAGTATGTTTTATCAAGATGTGATTTAAACCTCAGTATTTGTGGACAGAATTTTATTCTCACTGATCTACTGTATTTATGAGCCTTTTCAGAGTCTGTCACTCTGACATTCTGCCTCTCGTCGCCATAGGCAAGGCAAGACATGTTTATTTTTGTAGCACAGTTCATACACAAGGCATCTCAAAGCACTTAACAAAACAAGATACAATCCCACAAGGCATAATCACAGTAAATAAAGCGTTTCAGCTTTATAAAGTAATCTCCTTTCATCTTCAGGTGAAAAAACAGCCTCTTTTGAGCTGTCCTCACAATATTTAACTAAAGTATTCATCAAGTAATTCCACTACATCTTTACAACCTTTTCCCCTCTGTAAAACTTATTGCAGATATTTCTTGCTCTTCTTTAGATTGAGCAACACGCGTTCACAGCGTTTATTTAATCTACAGACAGCAGGTCACGATCCTCCTCAGAGTCTTCTGAGCCTGAAATATTTTATATTGTATGTATTTCTTTGAATGTATTTGTCGAGCATTGCAGTAACGCTAAACCTGCCACTAGAGGTCATTATAGAGAAGCTGATTGTGCTTATGCTGTTTTTTTTCTTTGTTATTGAAAGAAAAGCAGATCACGTATTTAAAACAATACCACGGGGTTAAAGTACAATCAGCCCCAGAATAAAAATATACATAAAATCCGATACTGTTATCACCAAAGTGAGACTGGTGAAAGAGCATTTAACTTATACATTGAAATTATGACTGGATTATTACTGCCTTTGCCTGGACTACCTTTGTGAACTACTCTGCCTTTGACTTAGAATAATATATATTTAATGCTATTCATAAATACTGCATATTTTAAATGTATTTATTTATATATGTAGTTATCTATTTAATTTATTTTTTATAGCAAAGACTTAAGTCAGTCACTCCGAGGGCTGATGTTGCGTTTACATTCCACACAGTAAACATGAGACTAGCGGCAGTTTCATGTTAATATTTCTCGTCTAATTTAGAACAGCTTTGTGAAACCACTCCCCCTCAGACATCATCTCAAACTTAACCGCGCCTTCATGAAGTGACTGAAGACTTTTAAACCACGCAATGTTACAGACCAGGACTATTTTTACACATATACCTCTCATGATCACTTCGTACTGTGTGTTCGTACTCTTATTGTCAACGGCATTCAGCTTAAAAACAAATAGTCTATGATGTGATAAAAGTACCTAATAAGGTTTGATAAGTGACCTAAAGTCTCTGCTTCAGTCTCTTTTTCAGTCTCTTTTTTAGTATCTGCCATTCGAAGTTCCTCCAACCATTGACTCTGTGTTGGTTGGGAACCTCTTTTGGCTTTGCCTGAATACATCTGTTGCAGGGATCGGCCTGTGTGGCTGCAGGTTTTCATTCCAACCAAGCAGGAGCACAGCAGACTCCACCCATTTCCTCAAGTCTCCAGGTTAAGACTGGACTCACGTGGGGAAATGGCTGGAGTCTGCTGAGCTGCTGCTTGGTTAGAATGAAAACCTGCAGCCACACAGACCTTTGAGGGCCGAGACGAAGACCCCTGATCCATAGAGTATGTGATAGAAAGGAGGGCCCTCTTTTTTGTATAATAATATTCCATGTGCATAGTTGCATAGATCGCATTCTCGTCAGGTCAGTCAGTAAAAAAAGTCCTTTATTGTGACATGGACTAAAACCTTCAAGATTACTGCAACTTAATGTATTGAACGAATAAGTCTAAATTTACTAGACTTGAGTACTTTTTGAATGTCTGTGAAAAAAGTTTTGCCAATAGGACACGCAGAATGGTCTTGTTTTGAAAGAGATCAGACATTTCCTCCTTGAAAAAAGATTTGGTTTGTCCCATTCGAGAATTTTTCCAAGATTATAAGTTGGTCCAAATGTACTCGATTCTGGACAAAAATGCTTCTTCATTCACACATTTATCATTTATTACTTTATATTCTCTATGTTTTACGGTGGACAAATATTTAACAAAGAAATATACTGTCGGTGCCAGGATGTGGAAGGCTTTAGAAACAATTCAGTTAAGATTCATTAACACAGGTGTAATATGAGTCTTTTTCTCGTCCCAGTCAAAACACAAGACTCATTATTTTGAAGGAGTTGCAGTCTTTTGCTTGATTTAAGAAGACGTTAGACGAGGGCGTTAGAAGAGTCAAATCTACTGGTGCCAAATGAATGTAGTTACAGGGATCGGCCTGTGTGGCTGCAGGTTGCTCTAACTAAGTGGTTTGCTGTTGGAGAAGTTGACAATAAGAGGACTACTGAAAATGTGTTGTTTACATTGATATTTCCCACGTGCTTTCCATAACTTGAGTTTACAGGTTTCTTTAAAGCCATTTTCTAAATCTGTGTTGTGTCAGCTTCACAGTCATGATCAGGGACGACCTTATTCTACCTTCACCAATGTGTAAAAGGTTTTATTTTGAAAAGAAATAGACAATATACGTGCTTTATTTTAACTTGAGCACTACTATATATAGTATAACTAGCAGAAGCCAAACAAAATGGGATTTTGTTTAAAGCTGGGGTTTGTAACTTTCAAACCACAAAGCTACTTCCTGGTTCTAACACTAGTTTAGAAGTACTCTTTGCTATATGTCTGTCATATAAACTTTGATCAGCTTTTGTAGACAGAAAAGCAAAACAGAGAAGGCCATCCTCGCTCAGCCAATCAGCTCTCAGCTTGAAGTACGCAAAAGGTACTGCATAAGATCTGAAAAAGGTCGGATTTGTCTTTCTGTCTGCTTTGACAAAACATGTATTATGCATGATGTAAAAAGTTAGCTACCCCAGCTTTAAGCCAGCAACCTAAAGGGACTGAGGGTGATATTATGATTCTACTATAGTATTTCTAACTACAAAGTTTTAAAAAAGCAAAACATCTCATGCACAATTACTTCATTCTGTTATGAAATGTCAGTGTTATTTGTATTTTTCTACCATATTTGTTCCGTCAGAACCAATGGCGTCTAATAGCATAGAACTCTAATGATTACAGGAGAGACTTGTATTAAACGAATGGTGTATATATTTTTTCCTAATGATAAAAAGATGCCTATTTCTTATGTTATTTTTTGCGTTTACATACATGTTATCCCTTGAAAGTGCCCGAAACTGTTAACATCCATTAAATAATATATGATTGTACATCACAAGTGACTATGGTGAAATGGCCTTGCAGACCAGGGCTTTCAAACTTCAAGTCATTTCTACATCTTTTGCTATAGTTTACATCTGATTCCATTTATTACAGGGTGTATATAAAATAATATTGTATCTATTCTA